AACAATATAATTTCATGCAAATCTTATATTATATACAAATTCATTGATATTGGCTTCTTATTTTTTGATGCCGTCCTTTGTGTGCAGTGGCGTAAGTATATGCAGTTTTCTTATATATGCATATGTATATCAGGATGCATGGCATGAAATTAAAATCGTACAAAAGTGCTAAGGAATTTACAATTATAGTATTATAGACAGCTGTCTGCTTTTAAAACGCACGAAATTTATAATAGAGTAGATCACCGCCATTGATCGATTTTAACGACGAAGCACCACCGTTGCACGGTGGTGGCGACGGAGCACCGCCGCTAATGTTGACGGGATATATTTAAAAAAAAAAAAAAACCACGTACAGCAAAGGCAAGGGGGGGGGAAAACATCGACATCATGCTACCAGCTATTGCCCTTGTTGTTATGGGACCACCACAAAGAAACCCTGGATTAGGGCAGTGAACTGTGATTGAATCATTACGAGAAATCTACCATCGTGGAGCACCGGTTCAGAGACTGGAGCCAAGGATGATGAACCACAAAATGCTGGATCAACTAATTAAAAGAGGAATATTAAAACTGATCATCAGCGCGTGATTGGAAAAAAGGACACTTGCATGCATGAAACCATAATAACTAATTCCCTAGTGCACTTTCGGGCATCAGTCGTTGGGAAAACCCAGTTCAGAAAAATCCAATTTTGCAAAGGCAGCCTGCTTGCATTGAGAAGACTGAGGTTTGAGGAGGAAAACTTAATTTATCAAAAGCAAGCAAATAATCATCATTAGTCTGGACTATGAGAGTTAGTTCCGCCCATTTTGACGCAAGTGGCTCAGAGAATATGGAGAATGGAGAGGTATGTTGATTGTTGAATCTGGTAAAGCCCAGTAGGTGACCAGCCAGCCATGATTGATTAGTTTTCTGCCTTCACAAGAGTCCATCATGAGACATCTGCTAATGAATACATTGCAAGTGCACACACAACACTACTCTTGCCCTGATGGTGATCTGAATAAAGCCCTCGCAATTCACTTTCTGGTTTCTTGCTCCCCTACCGTATGATTACCCAGCAGCGGTTTATTTCTGGTTATTATTATGCTCGAAATGGGAGGAGTAAAGGGGAGGTGAGTGTGAGTGTGAAGGCATGATGGTGCGTTGGAGAAGACGTGTCGCAATGTAAAGGCGATTAAAGCAGCTGGGCACTGCGAGGTTGGTTTGGCAATGGTAGGTCGCCATTTATTGGCCTCATCACCCCCCACCCCACACCGTCTGCCCAGAACCTTCTCTATAATACCGTATAATACAACTGTACAGTCAGAATCTGGAATATCACAATTTAACACATCCATTCTTCATCTTAAAAAACCAGCAGCCCCTCCACATTATATAAATATGCTACTCACCTGCACAGCTAATGTCTAGATATTGTACCTAGCGCCCTTGTTTCTCTGGATGATGTATTGACTTTCTATCTTACATGCCGTCTTAATTCTTTCTTTCTTTGTTTTCCACGAAAACAATGTTACTCGTGTGGTTTTATTTAAGACTTAATTAACTAATTTAACTAATATTTTTAATTTTGTTAAATCAATTAGTATGATAAGTTTTTCTAAGAAACCACAATCATCTTTTTTAATTTTATTCCTCTTTCTTTTACTTAATTATTGTTGGCGGAATACCAATAAGTTTAATTTGAAAAAATTTGATAAACATATGAAATATTACCTTCAGTTCTTAGTATAAGAGCTACTTGATCGATAAAAGTATATTAAGAAAGTCTGTTAAGTTAGTTATTTATAATAAATATATGTTATCTTTTTTAAAATAATACTCTTGGCAATTATGTATATTAGTTAGAATTACCATTTGATGTAACTTTTAATACATGTAACTACTATAAAAACTGCGTTGAAAAAATAGATAAATATAAGAAATAAAGTGTATTTAAGTCTTATATTTATAATCAAATTAGGTGTCAAATTAACTCTTATATATACAGACCGAAGGTAGCAGGTTTTACATGTAAAACTAACATCAGTCTTCAAATTAAGTTATGGACGGGAGGAGTGCCATTTACTTTTGCCACTTATCCCCTACCTTCCCATGTCAAAGGCCGCAAGTATCCAACATAGATAACTCATGGCGAGTTGCTCAGTTTTCTGAGACAAGATAAGGTGATTTATATTTATAATATGTATAATGATACGAAATCTTGAGACTAAAGAAGTGATAACATGAGGACTTCTCCAGTATCTTTTATGTGGATATTATTAGGATGCTACAGTACACATAACATGTTTTTTAATTCATCGCCACAGATTTACAACTCTAACCTAACTAAAAGATTTCTCGGGATAATGTGGCAAATGGGAGACAACGAAAAATAATGGAATATAACGGACATCTGCATTGATTCGTGTTTATGATTCTTTTTCTCTTGATTTTTATGGATAAGCAAATGCAAAATATGAAAATCTGCATATATTCAATTATTCAAATTGAGAGTGGTTTAAATTGACTTTTTTAAATAAAAATTAATAAATTATTATTATTTTGTTTATTATATCGAGAGCTATCAGAGACATAAATCCTGATCACAGTTCAGCCTTTGTCATCAAGATTGAGGTTAAAGAATGGAAATAGGAAAAGGCAGTGACGAATTTAAAATGGATCAAACGAAAAGCCGGTGGGCCAGGCTTTGAGGCCCATATGATTTATGGGTGTCCTAGCTCCATCCCGTATGCCGCACACGCACACATGCACATGCCCCTTCCACCCGGCCACGTCGGCATGGGATACGCATCTCAAAAGCTACACTTGTGATGCTGTTCCCAGCCTGAAAGTCCATTCTTTGTCTATAATAATTTAAGGAAGAGTTTGGATTATTTTTTGAAACTGACTTTACAGCAAACATGTCACGGAAGTTTTGTTTTGATTGACATGGAAGCCCACGTAGTTCTTAGCATCAAGAGAAAATCCCATGCCTTCGTAGGATATGACCGTTGAAGCCCAGCCACACTGAAAGGGCTCCGGTTCAAGGGAGCCATTACCACCTTCACCAAACGCATAGAGGGCCGCCTTTAATTTAGTTGGCCCATCTTGTATTTCTGCAGGCCCAATAATGAGTTTGCCAGAAACTCCAAAACCCAAGGCCTGCAAGATCGCGTAACTGGCAGCAGCAGTGATTGTAACGACTTGGGTTCGGTTTCTGTTGTCGGGGCAGCCCGGCCCGAAAACCGATTTTGGGCCGGGGGCAAGAAACTTGACTTGTTGGGGTCAAATTCCCAAAGCGGCCACCTCTCCGTGACGCTTCCGCTCATTCCAGCTACTCTCAAAAGCGAGCATGCAGCTCCATGTGGCGCCCCAACCCATCACACTGATTTCTTCGACAGCCTATAATCAAATCAACTGGGCACTATACATACAGATCTCGATCTTCTTTCTATGTATGTGTGATTTATTGGGCTGAACTTGTGATTATTGCAAACAAAAAGTGCTCGGCCGATCGAAAACCTTCCTCCGAAGTAGGTTACTTCTCTGATGTTTCCTGCGCCATCTCGTCAAATCACGAGTGCGTGATATACCTGTTGAGTTTAGCCAAATTCAATGTTTGTGGGATTCTTTAGTGGAATATTCGTAGGGTTTTGACTTTACCAAGCAGTGCTGGTATATATAATTTGGCGGTAAAAAGGCCTGATGGCGAAAGTGCGTAAGCTGGCATGAGAGAGTCAACGTCGGTCATGATGGGGGGGGCTCTGCTGGAAGATACGGAGAGAGAGGATTAATTAAGAGGAAGATCTGGGCATGCTATTATTTTTCCAACACTCCGCGCTGTAAAACCACTTGCTTCCTTTTTCATTAGTCTGTGTTGCCGACACACTCTTCCATGTGACCGCAAATCACAAATCCGGGCTTGTTTGAGTCCCCCTTTTCAACCACATGCTTTGAAAATTTTCACATCACCCATCAAAGCACGCCCTTTTCTTAAACGTACTGCGCCTTTCCGACATGCATCTTGATTTTTTTTTTTGCCTATTTAAAAAAACTTTTCCTTGGATCCTGACGGGATCTCCTATATAAAATTCCTCCCACCAGTTTCAATTTCTCCATTTCCCCCTCCCCATAGTTCTACATCTGTTGAAAGAGCCAAGTGCAAGTTTTCGTCTGCTTATGATGGCTTTTTTAAATCATACTACCTCCGGTCCTAATTATAAGAGCCAGTTGACTAATTTGAGGAGATTAAGAAAGTAAGTTGAGTTAGTTATTTGCCCTAAATAGGTGTCGTCTTTCATAAAATATCATTGCTAATCAAGTGTATTGACTAGAATTCTTATTATTAGAATGACTACTTTGAAAAACAATATATAAATATGAGAGACAAAGTAGATTGGAGTCTTATATTTAGGATCAAAATAAAAGTCAAACGGTGTTTTATATTAAGGACCGGAGGCAGTATATTCCTTAAGAGTAGCAATAGTGACTCATCACTGATAGAAATTGAAGAGCCTCTTCAACTAATAAGTTGGCTGGTACTTTATTTGAAGAAATAATTCGATAATAAAAGGAAGGAAAAAGTCCATTCGCCTGTATTTATATATAATAACGCACCAAAAGGTCGAAAAATTTGTGAAGAGTTTAGAACGAATCCAACAGAAATGGATATATTTCTGCACGTACGTGCGCACACTTGTTGAGGTGCAAATCGACTCCGAAATATTTTTGAGAGGCGCAATAAATATCAAGGAGAGGGAGACATGAACGATCATAATGTGGAAGGGGCGGCGGCAGGAGAGGGAGACATGAGTGACTCCATTTTGGGCGAGGCGCATACTTCTTTTGACCTCTGCGCCAAAAAAATATAATTACTTTAGGCTTTACAGGAGCCTCAACTATTCAAGCGAAGCAACCGAGAAGTTGAGGACGAGCCTCCAACACTGATCCCAGCTACCCAGCTACAGTGACAAAACGCCTTTATAGTCATTATGTTGTCAGCTTCATTCATCCATATAAGACGGGTCATCAGCTGGTGGCCCATCTTCCCCGTGATCGCCATGTCTTCCAAATTTGCGTGCTTTTACAAAGAGAGAACCACAGTTGAAAACCCCGCATAAAGTAATACTATTGGGATTTGAAAACCATGCAATTCATTTGGACCGTATCTATATGTTCATTAGCTTAGAGGAGAGCTGCCTATAGCACAGCCCACTGTCTGGCCTGTAAGTTCTTCATCACGCTAGTTCTTGCAGAGAGCCTGGTTCCACTGCGATGACGAGGACTCCTTGTTGTGAGAAAATGGGATTGAAGAAGGGACCGTGGACTCCTGAAGAAGATCAGATTTTGATCTCTTACATCCAACGATATGGGCATGGAAACTGGCGGGCTCTTCCTAAACAGGCTGGTGAGCATAAATCAATTCCTTTCTTCAACCATCTCTTTATGTCCTAAACCATCACATATGATTCCATGTATGGGACGATGCAAGTGTTTCATTGATCAGCGTATTGAAATGCTGGCTTTACTCTAAAGTCTAAACTATATATTAAGCAGGTTTATTGAGGTGTGGGAAAAGTTGCAGGCTTCGTTGGATAAATTACTTGAGACCTGATATAAAACGAGGGAAATTCAGCAAGGAAGAAGAAGAAACCATCCTCAAACTGCATCAAATTCTTGGAAATAGTGTGTGTGTGTGTGTGTGTGTAGTTTCAATCTGCTAACTGGCGTTTTGAATCACTTCACGCTGCCATTCGTTATATATATGGGATATATGGATATATATTTATGGGCTTTCCCTTTCATCGCTCAGATGGTCTGCTATTGCGGCGAGATTGCCAGGACGAACAGATAATGAAATAAAGAATTTTTGGCACACCCACCTGAAGAAGAGGCTGGAAAGATGCGAAGTGCGTAAAGTAAGTGCGCCCTCCTCTTGGACACAAGCATCTTCGAGCAAAGGGGTCGTGATGCTACCTATGCCACAGTTAGCAGTAGCAGCCTCGGAATCATCAAGTTCTGCTGATCTTGGCTTCACTGGCAAAGTTCTGATGAGTGCTAATGAGGGTTTAGCGTCAAGGAAATATGCGGCCACGGTGGATTCAGGATTTCATGGCGCACATTCTGGTGATGCATCTGGGGAAACCCTAGGCGGCCATAGATCTAACAACATCAGTGAAGAAATGGAATTTTGGTATGATCTATTCATGAAAGCCGGACAGCCGCCGCAAGTGCATGCAAATCTCGGACAGATTGCATGATTTTTTTTTTTTAAATATAAATCTTGTCGTGCTTGTGTACAAAGTTTAAATTCACTTCAGCATCAATATAATAAATGTTGCCGCAAAGGCAAAAAAAATTAGTTTAAATTCGATCTTTGCAAGTATCAGTGGCGGTTCACGGCGGGCCTCTCCGGCCCATAATCTGCCTCGCCGAAGTTCCCACACGAATTAATGCCCAGTGATATCTGCATCAATTATCACGAACATGTATGTCGCATGAAAGCAGTAAATAACATGACACATACACTTCTCACAAGTTTAATCTTGTATCTGTATGAGAAAGTAGATCTAGTTTTATTGTTTGATAAGAGCGATGAGTTTTATGCACCCGCTGCGGGTGACTTTTTAGTGTTCTGAACAACAAGAACCAGCCGCTGATTCATGCAAATGCAAAGGGAAATGCGAAGATCTGCCTGGTGCAATGCCGCCGGTGGTTTGTTGAGGCAGTGGAGATAATAGACGGAGATTGAATGTGTGGATCCCGTCAAAGTGATTTGACTCGTTTCAGGGTTCCCGACTATAGCTGGGGATGAGGGCACTGTTGGGAAAGTAGATAATTGAAGACGAGACGCTGAAGAAGGTGGCGCGTGCATCGGATCGTGGTATTGGAAGAGGATGGTTTCGGTGAGGGTGGCACGTGGCAGTTAAGAGATGACTCACCAGCGACGGGTCACATGAGTCCGGGGACGGCAGTTGAACATCGGAGAAATCATATTGGGCTCAGGCTCACACTAAAATAACATGGGGGCCCATTATTTTGTATCGCGGGATGGGCGTCGCTTCTCCATGCAGTGTAGGAAGCCTCTCTAATGTTGTGCTGTTGATGCAATAAAATGGGTTTGTTTATTGGCCCATAAAAAAAACAAAAGAGCAATTCTGACGTATTTTTTGAATGCAGAAATACCAAGGAACAAAAAACCGGACCGGGAATTAAACCGGTCAAGGCAGTGGGTCAAGGGTTATTGGTCGGACCGGAGTCGAACCGGTCATATTAAAATAATATAATTCAATTTCACCATATACCGTATGTATCAATGGATATGGTCTGGAATTTTCAAATCAAAAAATTACCCTCATAAAGATCAAATTCTCTTCAGACCTATAAAATTCACCTTCACAATAGGATATCATACACAATAATTTTTATATTCAGAATCAATTCAATTCAATCCAATGAAACAAAATCTATATTATTTCAGCAAAAAAAAATCATCAACTACTTTTCCCCTCCTACTTCAAGTGTTCAGAGGTTAAAATAAAATTTTCATCTCTTGAATCCTCCCTTCCCAAACCGTTCAACAGCCAGAGAGAAAGAAGGAACAAAGGCACTTGTTTAATCCGAAGAACACAATCTACCTAAAAGGGAACAATTTCTAGCTTACCCAAAACTCAATGCACCGAAGGGCGAAGGGACAATGTCGATTGGGATTTGAGGGAGTCCTGCAACTTTTGATTCTGCTTTTGCCTTCTGCGAACTGCGAATGCGAGAGGCGAGAGACTTGCGAGTTCAGAGCCTTCGACTTTTGGTTCTACCTTCTGCAATGGGAGTGGCGAAGGCGAAGCAAGAGGTGGTGACTGGTGAGGTTGAGGGAGACTCAGGCTTGTGACGACAGGTGGCAAAGGTGAAGTAGGGAGCAACTGAACAAGGAGCTCTGCCGTAGACCGTGCTGTTAGCGACGCCGGGGAGCAGGGATTTTGGAGGAGGCGATCGCGATTTTGGTTTGAGGGAGGGAGAACAGATGCGCCAGTAGAGGGGAGTCAGGGGAGGCCGAGAGCGAAGCAGGGATTGGGGAAGTCGCTGAACCGGGTAAGCCGAAAGGGAAGAAGAATCGAAACTAAAGAAGTTCCTTTTCTTTAAAACGACGTCGTTTGAGGAGTCTGGCTTGTCAAAAAAAATAAACCGGGCAACCCACTGAACCGGGTTACCCCGGTTTAATACCGGTTTTTTACCGATTCATTAGACCACAGGTCCAACAAGTAAACCAGATCGGACTGCAGACCGGTTCACCAGTTTTCCGGTTGAACCGGCCGGTCCGGTCCGGTTTTTTTTCCTTGAGAAATACCTTAAAATTATATTTGTCCCATGCGTTTCATATTAATTGAAAAGGTAAATTAATTACTTACTCTCTGTAACTTCTTACATTTTATGCCCATTTTTTAAAAAACTAAATTCATAATTAACATAAAAATTTTAATAAACTGCATTCCCTGATATTGCCGCTCATTTCTCGTGCTCCTTGAAATTTATCTTACTCATATTATTTAGTTATTTAAAATACAAAATCAGCAAGTAATATGCATCGATGCTCTTAAATTTATTCATAAAATTTAAACTACAAATTACTCCTCTGATCCTTAATATAGGACCCAATTGTTGAATTAGTTTTGGTTCTAAATATAAGACCCATTTTTTATATTTATCAATTTTCTCTAAATTACCTCTATGGATACTCCCTCAGCCATAATTAAGTAAAAGAGAGAGATGGGGTATTAAGAAAGATGATTATAGTGTTTTAGGAAAAATGTGTCATATTTTTTACAATTAACTAATTTATCTAATTTTTTTAATCTAATCAAATTAGTTAAATGAGTCTTATATTAAGAATCGGAGGAATAGATCAACGGATTTTTCACAAACAATTATTTACGCTTGTTGTCCTCGCGAGTCAGGGGGATGCGCCGTGTTCTGTTTGCAAAGGCCGAACTGTATTGCGAGATAAAACGACGACGTTAATCAGAAAAGGCAGGGCTAGGAGAGGGCGTCACGCTGGGATCAGACTAGAGGGACAGCCAGTGGGGTCTGGAGTTCTGCTCCCAGGTCGAAGGTTAATCTCTACTCGCTTTTGCTCCGTCCGCCTGCCACCGTTTTGAAGATAAAACACCTTAAAACCCCTCGCCTCCAAATTATAGCCTCTTCAATTTATCAGAGCATCGTTCAATGGCATTGGCCATCTCAAATTTATTGCAATGCCCTAATGTGCAGCTTTCCCGCAAGAATTTTCAGCCCAAAGTCTCTAAGACATCATTATCTTCTGTCAGGTAAACTCCTCCATAAGGCGTCTCCTCGGTTCCAACTATCTGTTACCATCAAATCACTGCAGCCCCACCCTCTAGTAAACTGGTCTCTTAATTCTGTCAAAACTTTTAGTAGCTTAGCCGTTAGATTTACTAAACTCGGGCAATTTAGGTGATTAATCTGATTGAGTTGCTATATGCATTTTGAATTGTCTTGCTACCACCTATGATTGTCCTTTACAAACAGCAACTACTTCGCTCAAGGCACATAGCACGTGAAAACCTCCTCAACTATGGTGATTAGAGTAGAATAAATAATTTCTTCGAAGGTGTTACAACCATCACCGTTCGTAGATTATGCTTTTTGCTTGAAAATTTGGTTGTTAATTTGGCCCAGTCTTCTTCCTGGAACTATAGTGCTGAGTGTCGAGTAATGATTCTTTCCTCACATATCTGACTGTAACTTCTAACGTTACAATTAATTTGGATTCTCAGGTTCATAAAAATAAATGGACGGATGGGCCATAGGGTTATCTGCGCTGCTGCATCTGCAGCAGGGAGTTCTAATCCGGACAGTAACTTAAATCCATATGAGGTAAGGTTCAGTCTGCTTGCAGTTTGTTGATCCATATAGCTGGTCGTGTATCTTAACTATTAGTAGGATGTCGTCTGTTAGGTCCTAGGTGTTAGCCCTATTGAGGGATTTGACATGATCAAGGCAGCATATACCAAAAAACGAAAGGAGGCTGAGAGGATTGGCGATGAAGAAACTGCTGCCAGAGTAAGTTACTCTCCCCAGTCTTCTGTATTTTTTTTAATTTTAAAATAAGATAATAATCTATTGAAATTTACCCTGTAAAGTTATATTTCTGGTAACTGACAGTAGGACAGCCTGTTATTCATGTTTTGGTGATTAATTTATTGTACTGATATTTTGGAATTTAAATTAAAAGTAAGAGTTATTTATTATTGATTTCTGTACTTAGAATCCTTATCTCCTGAGTAAACCTTTATCATCTAAATCAAGAGGCAACGTGAGCACGAAGGGACTTTCCACCTTTGCTTTGGTGTCCCCCCCCCCCCTATGCCATGGCCTTCTGCGTTATGGTTATCTTCTTAGTGCTTTCACATACGAGACCTTGTGTATTGTGATCGTATATTTCAGGTGGAAAAGGCATATGACAAAGTGATGATGGCACAATTAACTAATCGAAAGAAGGGTGTGACTTTTGGTTCGTTCAAGGTACAGTAGGGTTTTCTTTATTACCTACGCTCTAAATTGTACATGCAGACATGAAGGGGCTTTGATACTTTTTACTTAACTTTTCTTGGAAATTGAACTAAATGAGTAACGTTTGAAGTCGTATAGTTTTGCTGAAAATATCCCTTCCCTAATACTTTCTTGCTGCACGATGAAGATAAACTGCCTGTTAATTATGGCAACGGAGTACCTGGGAGGAACTGATGTGTCAATGTTGTTCTTGTTTTGTCTTGTTCTTTGTCTTTGGGCTATGTTTGTGCCCTTGAAGGAGGAAGGAGATTGTACAGCTTAATTAGATGGTGTACTGTTGTTTAATGCACACCCTATAATCACTTATCATATATCGCATTCTCTTTCTTGGTATCGGGTTCTTGCTTATTTTGGCTTTCTTACTATTATTTTCGAGAATTAGGCTATATTAGTCATCTATCTGCATCTAACAGCTTATATAACCTATATAAAAATGCAGGTTTCTAAGGACATAAAGTATGCTGACAAGCAGCCAATTGTACCTTGGGGGCCGAGGTTCAATATTACTGTTATGTTTGATGGCTTGTAGTTTTGTTGCTGTAGCTGTATATTTAACTTCTCTCGGTTGTCATGCCTCATGGAGGTCCATGTGGTGGCTTGGCCCATCATATGGCTGCTGTGCGGACACATCTATTTCTGGTGCCCAAAAGAAAACGCCTCTTTCTCTGTGTGATTTTTTTAAAAGGCACTTTTTTATGATGTGATCTGATTACTTGTAGTATGTGAATGCTTGGAGAAGCTCAATTCCATTTGCCTTGACGCCAATTTTTTCTCACTGTCCCCCATTTCCAGGGAATCGGTTTGCAACTTTATATGAATGCATAATGTTCTTTTCTAGGCCATATTCTAGTGTGCTTTTTTGTGGTGTTCTACATCTGCTTCAAATTGCTGTTTCCTTTACTACTTACATTACTGCTTTATTATCAACAACTTGTTGACTTCTAATGATGTTTCAGGTTTTCCAAATCGAGTAAAAATGATATGCGTATCAACCTTGCGATATCTGCTGTTTTTGTGAGTGTTCAAATGAAGAATTGCTTTGGCAAATGACAATGCTCTGAAACAATGATATTTTATTTGTTGGTGTTTTGCACGGTAAAATTTAATCATCTTATTTACCCATTACCCTGCAGACAGCTTGGGTCCTTATCAAGCGTAATGCAGAATATAAACCTTTGCAGTTTTTGGCATTTGCTTTTGTTTATCGGCTTTTTGAGAAGTTAAAATCCTTTGAACCACCTGTAAACCCCACATATAATGTGAGCTTCATTTTCCATGATATCATTCAGAATATTTTAATATTATTTGGTTTTGAACCACACTGCTATATCAATCTAAGTTGGCATCGGCTACAGGAAGATGGTGAGGATACAGGAGAAGGGCTGCGAATGGGAAAACGACTACTCCGATCACTGGCTTTGGTTTTTGGCTGCATAGCTGTTTCGTCTTTGGTATGACATTTAACTACACCTTGTGGCTGACATAGTCATAGAGTTGAGTTCAGAGGTCAATTCTCTTGTTGTCCTATAATTTAAATACATCTTTTTCCACCGTTGACTGATTTTACTTTTGATGAGAAATTCCATGTATTTTAAATTATATGTTGAATTGATTTAAATCTCAGCAGCCAAATTGAACAATCAAATATGTCTTTAGCTCTTTATTGTCTTCATTCTTTCAATCTCAACATGCTTCAATTATTTTCTCCATATACCATGTTTAGTAAAGAGCTAACGCCCTATTGTGTGTTCCTTGTAGGCATACACTGGTCTTTTGAACGTCATCGAGTTCTCAGGTGGCTACATACCTGCTTTGCTTTACAACAGTCAGGTATAAAACTAAATTTTATTGGCTTAAACTATAGAAGATAAAGAGTCCATTTAGATTGACAGTGGAAAAAATAATTTATTTTCAATTTGACTTTTAAAAAAGTAAGATTAGGTAATGTAATTTATGTTTGGATTGACTTTTGTAAAAGTTAGTTTGTAAAGTAAAAAAGTTGTTTAGATTATAATTAAATAAGTAAGTTTAGTTTGTAGAATAACCAAAATGAGTATGACTTTTATTAAATAATGAAGATTAAAAATATGAATTTACAAAATATAATAATTTTAAATTATTATAATTAGGAAAAAGTTATATTTCATGAGTAAAATATATTTAAATTAGAAATCACAGTAATAATACCTAATTAATTGGATGATATACTCTGCATAATTTATGTAAATATAAAATGAAAAATAATATTAAAAATTAAAAATGTTATAAAAACTGTTAAAAATTATTTTTACTTAAAAGAATATTGAAAATAAATAACTAAAAACTGATTGAGAAGCACAAAGAATGTATAGAGAGAAGCATAAGAATAACATAAATATAAGGGCAAAATTGTTTTTTAATTCGAAAAAGCTACTTTTACACAAGTTATAAGTACATTTTATGTGTTTTTGCAATCATGCTTAAAAAAATAGCTTTTGATCCATAAGTTAGATTAGTCAAAAGTTGTGACAAACAGCTCCCAGATTTGCTAACTGACTTATCGCACTTTTAAGTTATTTTTTTCCTCCAAAACGTCTTACCAAACAGCTTGAAAGCTGTTGCCAACCCAGGCGCAGTCAATAATATGATGGTAGTCTTGCCGTTTGACGTCCTCTGGGACTGGTTTCCTCTTGTCTTGTGTGGTTGCATGTCCTGACTTTTATATTTTTATTTGTCTTGGCAGCAAAAAATGAATTCTTGGTTACATGAGCATTATTATTTGATGTGAATTCGTCAGGTTGCCCGCAAGTGTGCGGCCTCTATTAAGAAGTTCTTGAATGGTCTGGTTGTCGATAAGCAATGGGCGTAATCATAGTACTTTTTGGAAATCGATATACGCGTGGCTTCATCGTTTATAGTTTAGAGAAGTAATGCAAATTTCGAAGTATTTCTTTACGGGCCAAAATGCTTTGGTTAGGACAAAATCATCTTTTTATCCTATGTAGCGTTGTATAAGTTGACGTGATATATATATATATTTATATTAATCTTTTGGATTTGCTGCCCGACATTTATTTAACGTAATTATTCTTTTATGGGATTTGCAGGAGTTGATAATCACCACGTCATCGGCAGTAATGCTTTACATCATGGCGTCATTTTATAGATAAAGGGAACTTCGCTGAACCTGAAGGCACCCCGCAGCGAGTCATGGTCGAGAATTAGTGCCGCCGTGTTCCTTTGTGTTCGCAGCGTTTCACTATCAAATTTTGTGAGCTGAGGTTGAGATTCTGTAGAAATGGATGGTATTAGCAATATTTCTACTACTGGTGTTTGATGTTGTTCATTTTCTTCGATAACTCGTGTTGCCAGTTGCTCCCGAGGGCCCAAAACAAAAAACACACACGCACACACAAAAACCATTTGTCCGTGCCCGTTGCCCCACACAAGAATGGTAGGGTTGTTTAGAAGGATGGTCTACGGTGTTGCACGCGCTTATTCGAAAAACGGGTAGGTGTTTCATTGTTTCATTTCTGATCCTCCGAATTTGTCTTGAAAAGCGTTTGATAATTAGTTTATATTTATATATTTACCACAGAGCCTTCAGCTTTGAGCACTGGAGCGTCTTTGTGGGTGTGGGGATTTGCATTTTGTTTTCTTTCACAGCACCATGTTCTCATTCTTCATTAGGATTTTAATTTTTTAAATTCTTGTTTAGAGTTAAAGCTTTATTTTAAAAAAAATTACACTGCGCTTAGTCAAAAAATATGAAATCTTTAATAATGAATTAGCATGAAATATGAACCGCTTATTAATAATGAATTAAATATGAACGCTTATTTGTAATATGAATGGCGTAAATTTAAGGGGATGGCTTCTCCCTGTTTCTTTTTCACTCTGCTGCTGTCCTGCGCCCTTTTTTTTTTTTTTTCAGGTCAACATCTATTCAGCATCTCAAAATATTTTTCAGGCTTATTTAGTATGCTAAAATGTTATGTATTTAATATTTTTGAAGTATTTTTTTAAATTCACGCAGCATTTTAAAATATTTCTTTTTATGCATCTAGTATCTTATGCTTTTAGGTATATGCAGCATTCTAAAATATTTTTTTATACATCTAGCACTAAAACAGAAAAAAAAATATCTTAAAAAATATTTTAAAGCGTTAGATGTGTTTGGAAAAATATTTTAAAGTGTTGAATGCATCGTAATTTAAAAAGAAAATAGGGGCAGCAGCAACGGCGGACAGAAAAAGAGGAGGAGAAAAGCCATCACCGTAAATTTAAAGTTGAGCCTTTGAGACGCAGACCTAAACCGGCAGGCGGGCATATTATGTGGGCAGCAGAAAAAAGACTGATTTATTTGTAATTAAGCTTTTGAAAACTTAAAATTGAGTAAAAATTAGATTGAGTAATATAATTTATGATGAAATTAGCTTTTATATAAAAAGTAAAAAAAATTTACATTTTTGTTGAAAAAACCAAGTGTAAGTGTAAAATGACATAAAAGGGGCATGGCTGTTATTAATAAAGCACGGCACGAGTACTTCCACATCACAATGTTTCTTCCACTTGTGGTTCGGGCTTTAAAGAAGCCACTGTTTGTGGTTTGGGCTCAAAAACCCCAAGGCTCGGCATTCATGGGCCGCACTGATGCATACGGATCCAATCCGGGGCTTTGGCGTCTCATCATTCATCATCATCAATTATCAATACTGAATATAAAATCTGTGTATATATTCGTAAGCTGTAAATATTACTATTTGCTTCAAAATACACAAAAAAAAGGGGGGCGTGTTTTGTGCCAGCCAAGATTCCTTTGGATATTCATGCTGGAGGTGTCATTTTCATGACTTTGTTGTGCAAAGACGGATCGTCAAATATAGAAGCCAAACCCATTGCTCCGATTTCTTATCAGCCCGGCGGGGTCAATCATCTGGGGGGAGCTGTTCGGGCAAGGCTTTACACGCGCCTAATAGGGCTTAAAGGCTCAAACAGCGGCAATCACTATGATGCCACTCATCAATCAGCTGCTTTTAGTTTCGGTTCCTCTGATACGACAAGGGAGAGGTTTATGGAAGGCCAGTTCTTCATTAATGCATGGGACGAAGGCCGCCTTCAAAGATTGGGCGGAAAGAGAGAGGGGGACCATGACATTAAACAATGTTCTTGAGCATTGGTGGTCTAAACCAAGATTTTTTATTTCCTTTTGGAGTGGGTTGGGAGGGTACTTGGAATCTGGAAGTGGTGCCGATTTGTTTCCATAATTGGAACAGTGACAGTTTGGGGGATGATCCTGCAGGAGAAGTGATGTTAGATTTTGTGATGGGGAGGTGTCGCCCCTATTTGTGGGGGTGTGTCAGTCCCTATTTGGGCGTTTTGAGATTACAAGTAATGCCTCCCCGCCTCTTAACTGGAACTTAACTTTCCCCGAGACTTCTCCCAACTTCCCCCGAGACATTTCCCTTTCATCACACACACACACACTCTCTCTCTCTCTCTTCTCTTTTATTAGTCCATCTTAATTTCTTCTCTCTCTGTCCCATGCCACGCTCTGGACTCCTAACAGTATATAACCGGCCATGTTCCCGCCTCCGTAAATCAGAGGTTCATCGGCTCCCTCCCGCTTCCTTCCCGCACTTCTGTCTCTTCACCATTCATCCTGCCTGCCTCTCACTCACTCTCGCTCTCGCCCTTTTCATATCCAAATCGGGCACCCCATATTAACTCTTTCTGTAATATGCTCATGTCTTGGCGTTCCAGTACATATGGCCCCTTGATTATTGATGTTACAAGTGTCGACTATTGTCCTCTAGTCAAGAATCCTATCAGGGAAGTTAATTACGGATAATAAATGTGCTCTGGCATTCCATTGCTTTGTGACGCCCCCTCAAATAATAGAGCCTCTACGTTAGGAAAGGGAATGATGAATGAATGTAGATGGAAATTATTCAGACGCGTGAGAGACATAATATGTTTGTGGGGGAAGGAGACGCGCCAGGGAGGGGAGTGAGGAAGGTGAGTATTGGGGGATGGCCATCTCGGGTCCCCATCATGGCTGCTCACTGCCAAAGTCAGTGCTGTTGAGGGCATAAGACGCCCACCTACTATTCCCCTCGCTTGGCTTCAATTAATTAACCCTTGGTTCTCCCTGTTCGCCCTCCCCTTTATCTCCTGGTCACTGCTCACCTCCCCCCCTCTGATCGTACTATTTAACTCTCAGTTGCTTGCGCTTTTCTGGAAAAAGATGATCTGATCCCTTTCCCCTTCCCCACCCAGGAATCAATATTTCTCCATTTGCACCGCCAATCTCACATTATTAATCCTGCACTCACCCCTTTCTCCCACGGACACTATGCTGTCTCATACCTAGGTTTTTATCCTTGCACGCTGCTTCTTTTCCCTTAGTTTCTCTCCCTTTTCTGAACGCTAGATAGCAGTCACAGGCCCTCTTCCCCTCCCCCTCTCTCTTTCTCTCCGTGCATGATATGCCCCTTCATCACTCGTCTACCATCGCTCAAAAGGAAAGCAAAAAAACAAGGCATTAGTAAAAACCCTAGAACGAGTGCTAGTGAAGAGATCTAAGCAATCCCACCTAGTAAGAAGATGGATTTGGTTTCAGAGTCATCAAACCCGAGCTGTGAGAGTGAAGGTCGCGTGACTGCATCGGCGAGCCGGTACGAGAACCAGAAGAGGAGAGACTGGAACACATTCTGCCAGTACCTGAGGAACCAAAGGCCGCCGGTGCCGATGGGGATGTGCAGTGGCACTCAGGTGCTGGACTTCCTCAGGTACCTTGATCAGTTCGGAAAGACCAAAGTCCACACCCCGACTTGCCCTTTCTTCGGCCTTCCCAACCCCCCGGCACCTTGCCCCTGCCCTCTCCGTCAGGCGTGGGGCAGCCTTGACGCCCTCATCGGCCGCCTCCGCGCCGCCTACGAAGAGAACGGAGGCACCCCCGACTCGAACCCCTTCGCCGCTCGTCCCGTTAGGCTTTATCTGCGCGAGGTTCGTGATTTTCAGGCCAAGTCCAGAGGCGTTAGCTATGACAAGAAGAGGAAGAGACCTAAGCCCAAGCCGAACATCGCTGCCGATGCTACTAGTGCTACTACTTAGCCGAGATGATTGACTCTTCTAAATAAAAGAAAACAACAACTACAACAGCAACAAAGCAAGGGGAATCGGCTCACTTCCCTTCGTACGTATCCTGTAATATATATGTCCCGATAATGTTTTGTGGTGCGCAATTTTAATGTGTTCACTTTATTATGTCTTGCAAAGACTTGCCACTGAAATCCTTTGTTCGCGAGTAGTCCAAGAAATGATCATCCGCGATTGATAATTTGTACCCAATTAAATGTTATGCGCATACATGTTGTGTATTACTTGAAAGACACATGTGCACTCGATTCTCTGTGTAATGGATGTTGCAATGCCCTCTTGCAAATTATTAAAATTCTCAATGGATCTCAAGCTGTTCTGTGTCTGCTTCTGTCTTTCAAAAAAAGAAATACGTGTGTGTATGTGTGTGTATATATATATAGACACTCCGTTTCCTGCGCATAAACTAGCTAGTGAAGATGGTTTTAGTTGTCGCCGGGAAGTTTTATTGTATATCAGCTTCATGAAGATCGTTTTTCTCTTGCGAGATTTGGCGCACATGCTTGCTCGCATGGCCCCTCTATGCGTGTGTTGTTGGCCCGTGCGGTAGAGCCATTCACATCCAGAAGGAAGAAAAGCTATCTGCAGAATTGTATTGCAGGTTGAATTTGAATTACCAGCGTGTCATATCAAAACAGGATATATTACATAATATATCCGGGGGAGATAGTACGGGTTAACTAGGTAAATAAGCATTGGATGGTTAATGGAAAATTCACGAGGCCAATATTACAAGTATTGGTCAAATCTGGTTAGGTATGGTTCCGATTAAAGATGATCTTGGGGAAATCTGCATTAGACAAAAGGACAAAAACCTAGATTATGTTGTGTATTATTTATAGATGCCAGCTACAACTGGACATGTCAAAAGTGAATGAACCGTGGCTTATATCCAAGAATAATTTCTTCCAAGTGTTGGCAATCACAGGGGAAGCCATTTGCCTGAACATCAAATTTTGAAGGAGGAGGAAATACTATTCTCTATCTTTTGGTACGAAGGACTGAGAATGTCTTCTGGTTTGGTCGTCCTGGGTTAAAAAGAGGAGCCCTTTATTCATTTCTAGTGTGAGGCTTTGTAACAGCTTGTTTGGTAGACTTGAAGAAACTTGTTATTTTATTAAGCTTTAAGGAGCACAGCTAATCATGATGGCTAGGGCCACTTTATGTGATTCTAATTGTGATGATCACACTCGTATCAAAAGCAGCAGAAAAGTGAGCTGCATATGTTGATTAATGTTTTTGTCTTTTTGTAATTATACATTGAGAAGTTTCCGGAATAAGAATTAGGAAATTTTATGTTTGGTAATCACGTCACCAACACCTGCAACTTCTGATTTCTACCGATCAAGTTATTGATGAGGAAATATTGACAACGACTCATTCATATTCCTAACAACGGGATGTTTGAATCCTTAGAAGAACGGGATGCGTCGGATCTTTCATCTTGTTACTCCGTCTGTCTTGTGTCTATTTTTTCCCTTCTAATTTTTTTTCTGTTTTGCTCAAGGATATCATGAGCTTCATTTACGTGAAGGCAATGTATTTGTGAATTGTTGCTAAGAAAATAAAAGGGAAAATATGTAAACAGCCTTTCTAAGTCAGCTTATTTGTTGATCATGTACTTTAAAATTAAAAAGCAAACCCTTCCAACAAGGTTTTTGTTAAAATACGCAGATCTCATAATGTGCAGACACGACGCGCAATTTGACTAGCCGGAAGTGCTGTTATGGCTTTTTTTGGGTCGGTTGTTAAACTTTTTCTTTGAATTTTTGTTACTTATTTTTGTAATTATACAATATACATGACTCTCTAAAACTTGAAAGAAAATTGAAGAAGAATTGTAACTAAGTGAGTATATAGAAGACATTTATTTTCAAGCATATATGATAAAAGCTAGTACAGATATAAATTTTAAAATTTTTTTACCAGCAATTTTGTGCATTTAAATTACACATGGTAGTAGGATTAAATTGCATGAAGTGACTTTTTAAAAATTACGCCAAAACAAAGATAATCTGAATAATTTAGACTATGGCGAAATAAACAATAATATACCAAATTGCGTTTTTAGGAATCCGCAAAATTACCTCGTAAATCCTTCTTGGGGGTTCCTACGTATTACGTGTACCATGAAAGCACCCGATTTTCCGAGGTTTTTTGGTATTTATTCATTTATCTATTTTCCCCACGTAGAATCCTCCCCCTCCGCCTCCCTCTATGAAAGCTAAACCATCGCGTGTATATGGAATTCTGGTCTACTTAGCATTAAAACATTAATTTTTTTCCTTATCAACAATACTTCATTTATTAGACTCTTGCGCGCAATGTACAAGAAACTTGCATATTGTTGTAATGACATTTGAAGTAAGGTTTGAATCCTCATTAGAAAAAATACCCAACTATATCTTGAACAAAATTATCTGGAATGATTCTAATAGGACTTAAAAAGAAAAAAACAACCCAGACGTCACACACACACACACATATTAAAATGTATGAAACTTAAGTCTTGTAATTAAATTAAAACCCAGACGTCATGTGATCGGACCCTCCCTTTCCTTTCTTTATAACGATTATCTGATCCGGCCCTCCTATGTCCCATAATTTTCCATTTTGAAAGTGTGTGAAAGTGGGTTGTTTAAATAAACGAAACTATATTGCCTTTGACGTCAAAGTGGGAATAGTAAATGGAGTATTTAATTAAATCTTATTGGGAACATATTTACTTCGAATCTACCGGCAATCATGTTCTTATTTTGGGTAACCAAAGAGTGTCAAATTCAACTTTATGTTGTTCTACAGTATGCTTCATAACAGATTGACAGATGGGAAGTTGCGTTTTCAGGCAATCTAGCTTAGGAGGTGTTTGGGAAGTATCAAAAGTACTTCTGAAAAATATTTTTTTATAAATTGAGATAAATTTTTTCACATATTTACTTCGTATATTGTAAAAATATTTTTAAAATTATGATTTTGATTCCATCAAGACACCCCCGTAGTTGATAAAGGAGAGAGGTTCTTCTATCCACACTAGGATAATTTGATGGGAACACACATATGGAGTTAGATGAAAAATAAATACACATATTAAAAATATCAATTAAATTAGTTATTCATAAGAAATATACATTATGGTGTTATATGTTAAATTAGTTATTCATAAAAAATATGCATTATGGTGTTATATGGTATTAAAAAAATGCATTATTTTTTCATACAAAATATCACTCCTTGTAATCATTATATTAAAAACTATTCTTAAGTATAAGTAATTATGGAGAATACCGAAATATTATATTTAAGACTAAAATAAATTTGACTAATTCTTATATTTAAAATTGAAAAGAATAATTTGTATCACAAGTGATATTTAATATTTAATAATCACATAATAAAGCGCACATAGTACTAGGGACTATTTTATTCCAAAATTAACCCTCTCATCTGACTAGGAAAGGAAAAAAGGGGTTTTGAGTGTATGATGTAAATGCAGGACATCTAATATAACTCAAAGAATGCAGCATTATTGAGCCGCTGAAGGGGGGAAAAAAAAAAGCTTTTGTAAAAGCAAGAGAAGTAGACATCAAATTAAAAGAAAGTGTACGACTAAGATTAGTTCAAAAATTGAATGGCTATATGTCGGCAAAAAAAAAAAGAAAAAGAATGGCTTTATATATTTACAATGTTTTTGGGTGAAAATCTATTTACCATCATCAATAGGCCATGTATGTACGTGTCTGAGCACGCATGAGGCCAGTGGGAATCAAAGGGAATGAGATAGAAGGGGAAGCAGCCGAGAGCATAACCCATATCCAGGATCCCTCCGCATCTACTTGTTTATTTATCTATTTATTTGCACAGTGTCCGCGAGATCGAGGACTGGACAGTCTTAGGACTGTGAAAGCGTTTCTCCATGGCTTCCTTTTTAATATACTCCCTCTAGTGATTAGTATAATAGTTGGTTAGTAGATTAATTTAAATATACTAAAAAAATAGTTATTTATAATAATAGATATCGTTTTTTAAAAAAATATTTTTACTAATCATGTGTATTAGTTAAAATTACAATTCGATAAAATATTTAACATATGCAGCTACTATAAGGATTATCTTAGAAAAAAATGTATAAATATGAGAGACAAAGTAAATTGAGATCTTATATTTAGAATCAAATTGAATGTCAAACTAACTCTTATGTTAAAAATTATAGATGGTAGTACATATTCAGTTAATAAAGTTGATTATATTAGTTACTTATTTGTCATTATTGTATAAAAAATGTTTTATTTTTCTTAAAATACTCCTCTTTTTATAAGAATATTTAATCCTAAATATAAGATCCTCATCTATTTTATATATCATATGTATCATTTTTTAACTAAACTTAATTTACTTATAAATTGATGCACAATTTAGTATTACACAAACATATCATATTTATTATAATTTATTTATTTATTTAAATTTTTTTAATCCACGAAGTAGGTGTGAAGAGTGATGTTTGGAATAAAAATAAAACCTCAAACGAATATAATATAAAAATAGACACACGGGAGGATGGGTTGAATCCATGCTTAACCGAGTCCAACAGTCACCCCTGAGTTTGAGACAAGGGGAATGAAGGACTTAATTTAGGGCCTATTTGGGTGTCATCCAAAATCATGGTTTGGGAGGTAAGACCATCGTTTAGATCAGATGACATCCAAACACCTTAATATTTTGAAAAACTATGGTTTAAGTTGAAACCATGGTTTTAACCTCTGAAACCAAGGTTATGTGAAAAGCGAAATCATCTCGCTTCTAATACTGAAATTTTGGCTATTGGGGTGTCAGAAGGTGGACAACATTGTCTCAACAAAAAATGCCCCTTGACTCGCCCACATCTCGCGTGGCTTGCTGGCGTATACAAATGGTCTCAACAACTAGACACAGCACGAGAGATAGCCTGAGAGAATCATATATATATATATATATATATATATATATATAAGAGGAAAAGATAAATGAGATGTTTCAAAATTAAAAAAAAATCATGATATTTCATATTTATAATCTTCAAAATAAAATAATATCTTTTTTGGTAAAAAATATTCATTTTTTACGTAAACATTTTTAATCTTATAATTTATATATACACACATATTAATTATTTATTAATTATATTATCTTATATATTATTAATTATGTTGGTAAAAAATACTACTTCCAGTCCTTAATATAAGACCCTATTTGACTTTTATTTTGGTATAAATATAAGACCCCAATCCACTTTATCTCTCATATTTATACATTTTTTTCCAAAATAACTCTTCTAGTAATAAGAGTTCTAGTTAATACACTTGATTAGTAAGGATATTTTAGAGAAAACAACACTTATTTATGACAAATAACTAACTCAACTTACTTCCTTAATCTTCTCAGATTAGTCAACTGGCTCTTATAATTAGGACCGAAGGTAGTATATTATTAACAATTGTATTCCTTTAAATTAAAATATATTATAAAATCTATCTTTTATGTAATTATCATATTAACTTATACCTTTTTTAGTAATTTGCACATATAAAAAGTACGTTTGATAATAGCTATCTAAACACTCTCATTTTATCATAATTATTTTTTCACAAAATCTATTCTCCCAAAAATCTATTCTTCAAAAGCTATTCTCCCGACCATGATTTGATTTCATCCAAACACCCCCTTAAACACACTTATGAGGAATAAGCAAAGCAGTCCGCAGCAGAAACGAGTTAGGAATAACATTGCTTATGCCCAACACCGCATGTTACATTCCTTATTAATTACTACTGGTCTTTAATATAAGAACTAATTGACTAATTTAGATAAATTAAAAAAATTAGTTAGCTTAGTTATTTATAATAAATAGGTGTTGTCTTTTCTAAAACATCCTTACTAATCAAGTTTATTAACGAAAACTACTATTACTATAAGAATTATCTTGAAAAAAAAAAGATAAATATAAGAAACAAAGTGAAATAGAGTTTTATATTTATAACTAAAATAAAAGTCAAATAGACTTTATATTAAGGACTGGAGGTAATATAATCCAATTCTTATGTGCCACTTCTCAACTCCCTTCCATCATCATAATTACTCCGTACATTTGCTTGCATTTGTAGATATGCAAGGTCCATTTGGATTAGTAGAAAAAAAAAACTTATTTTCAATCTGACTTTTAAAAAAGTGAGATTGAATAATATGATTTATATTTGGATTAATTTTTGTAAAGGTTAATTTGTGAAGTAAAAAAATTGTCTGGATTATTTTTAAATAAGTTTAGCTTGTAGAATGACCAACATGCCTCACGAAAAATAACAGCCACAAGCGTGGTCCTAAAAAATACTACCTCTAGTCCTAAATATGAAAGCCAACTAATTAATTTAAGTAGATTAAGGAAATAAGTTAAATTAGTTATTTGTTATAAATAGGTGTTGTAGTTCCTAAAATATATTTACTAATCAAGTGTATTGGTTAGAACTATCATTATTAAAAGGACTACCTTGAACAAATGAATAAATATGAGAGACAAAGTAGATCGAGGTCTTATAATTAGGATCAAAATAAAATTCAAATAAGATCTTATATGAAAGATTGGAGGTAGTAATTAAAAGTATGAATTTACAAAATGTAATAATTTTAAATTATTATAACAAGAAAAAGTTATATTTAATGAATAAAATATATTTAAATTAGAAATCACAGTAATATGAAATTTTTTTAACCAAATAAAATTACATAATTAATTGGATGATATACTCTACATAATTTATATAAATATAAATAAAAAATAATATTAAAAATTAAAGTTAACAGAATATTAAAAATAAATAACTAAAAATTGGTTAGGAAGCACAAAGAATATAGAGAGAAGCTTAAGAATAATATAAACATAGGGGTAAAAATATCTTTTAATTCCAGAAAGCTACTTTTGCATAAATCATAAATAAATTTTAAGTGCATTTATAATTATATTTAAAAAAACAACTTTTAACTTAAAAGTCATATTGATAAAAAATTATAACAAATAGCTTTCAAATTTATAAACTCACTCGTATACGTTACCTTTTCCTCTCAAATCGCCTTACCAAGCAGGCTGTGTACAATCTATTTCTTGATCGAGCTGCTTAAGCCCCCAATAACTTTCCCTCTTGTCAACTAAATCATAAAAATCAAATATATCCTTGCCCCAAGGGTTTCATTTGATATAGAAAAAACGATGAAATATAAAAGAAAAACAGTTATCGCCAAAAAATACATTACTATTTGCGATCGAAGTCTTGTTTCCAAATATTTTTACATTGTGATTAGGTTGCAGAATGCCAAAAAACCTGTAGAATATGAAAAATGATTTGCGAAATATTGCTCAGGTTATTTTTCATTATAATACTAACAAAAACAATCTTTATGCTGTTGGGGTGATATCCCCCTTTTTTTAACCTAAAAAAAAGGAAGAATGGGAGGTCAAAAAGGCGATAAACGATGGAGGCAGCAAGCCAAAAATGAGCTCAAAGAGGAAGGAAAGGGGGGAGGGGGTGGAAGGAACATAGAAAGGGCTCAAGAGCCGAAGACCGTACAACAATCCCGCAATCTACGGTGCAGTGGGGGGTGACACGTGGTCTCACGTGCAGATTTGTACTGAATGTCGGCAATAGCGGCGGCATCTTCTTCATTCGTCCACAGCCAACCCTCCCTGCATCAACGTCGAGGTTCTCAAGTTTGTGGGTTCTCGATCATGCAGTTGCTCAGGTTAAGGTGGCACTTAGCACCACCTTTGGTTTCTGCCCCTCTTTGTTTTCCATCTTTGGCCCTCCCCTTTTTTGCCATTTCTGGCCGGCCCTCATGACTTCACCGCACCTCCTTTCCCTCTGGGACCACTTTCGACTGCCACCCTCCTCTTCCTCTCTCGTTTTCCTTTCTTCTTCTTCTCCAAAAATTTCCTGTCTCACGAAAACCATCACAACTCTTGAAAATATTACCATGCCGCGATTTTTTTTTTTGACCAGCAACCATGCCGCGATTTGATCTTGCACGTTTGACTTGCATTTACAAGTTTGTGTGACTATTGGGGTGTACATTTGCACGTCATACTTAATCAACAAGGCAGTCCACAACGGAGTTTACTTACCTGAACCACAATAGCATAGCGCGGTGAAATTACGGGCACTGCGAGCACGAAGCGAAGATTACGGTCAGGGAAAGCATTAATGAGCACTACAGGGAATGTAGTCAATAAATTGTACTCTCTGCGAACGAGGAATGTGACCCTTCCTACGCAACTTATTTTTGATATGTCAAAACCTTGGGAATAAAATCTCTCCTTCGAGAATAAGTTAATGTTATTCTAACGACAAATGCACGGTTCACATTTCCCAACATGAATGAATGTCAATAAAAACCTAACATCGCTTTGCCCTGTATAATACACAATACTGCGGGAACCAAGAAAACTATTACGGCCGGCACTCCTCTCAGATCTTCGTATATAGACATACCAGAGGTGTCCACAGTAATTTTCACCCCACCCAGCTGCCTTTTTTTAAAAAAAAAAAAAAAATTCAAAGGCTAAAAACTTAAAAAGGTAAAAAAGGTATTTTCCGTTTTCACTTTCTCTCATTGGTCCTTTCTGTTGGCTTTTTGAAAATCCTTTTCCCCTCTTTGCCCTCCGTCAGGTAGCCGGGGGGAAAAATCAGAACAGGTTGTATGGATAACCATGCGCAACCTCAAAGCAGAAACAAGAATTTACATGCAGTTAGATTTTAGGCGCAGTTATGTGCAGGAAATGAATCATCTGGGACGACTGCTGATTTCTTCATTGAGAAGTTGAACAATTAGGCTGCCGTCAGCTGCAGTATTGTTATTGTCACAAAGAATGCTGCACAGTGAGCTCAATTCTTGTTCATCGGCCTTTTTGAACAGGCTCCTTAATACTGCATCTATCCCAACAGGCATGACCAGATTCCTGAGGACCCCTTGAACATTTTCCCCCTGGAACGGCCTATCCGCAATAGCACCATTTTCTTTGGGCTGCGAGGCTTGTTGAATTTGCCCTAGAGGCCGTGAATACGGCCGTGAATCCCAATATTCCTTGCAGACGCGATTTTGATCCGATGCCTCGATAGCCTGGGGAAAGAAGGAAAATGTGTCAAATCCGCGTCAAAGGAAGCAGAATCTAATGGAGCGTCAAAATCACCAACATGGGTGATTAAAGGCCAAGAAGCTTCCTTCTTTTCCAACCAAAAAAAAATCAAAGAAGCTTCCAGCGGAACAGGAACAAATAAACCCACAAGCAAATCAAAGGAAAAATGCAACAAGTATCAAAATGTTTCAATTTTTTATTTCTTTTATCCCCATAAACCTAACTGAAAAAAAAATTATAGAACAAATATCAAAATGTTTCAATTTGCCTAAAAAAAATGAGAGAGCATCCCTCGTAAAAGGGAAGATAAATAAAATAAAGCCATAGGCAAATGAAAGGAAATATGGTATTCAGTTGAATTTATTTGCACATTAAGGGGGAAAGTACTGCAATCATGCAAGCAATTCACACCGTATTATCTATAATCGTGGTAAAATCCTAGAATCGATTCAAAAGAAAATTCACAATCATTATTATATATAGCTTTGCTAGTAAGTTAGGCGGCGGAAAGCAAGAAATGGAATAAAACTGATCTTTTGCCGAACTCTACTTGGAGCAATTTATTGATTTATCAATCAGTTTTCCACAGAAAAATTACCTGCACTATTGCTGGCGAAGAAAACCCAAACATTTCAAAGCCATCAATGCTTCCAGGTGGCTGCAAAGGAGGAAGGTCCTTTTTTCCCAGCTTATGTTGCCTTGTGATCTCTTGATTCACTCTCTCTCTTACCAGTTCCCAGCATCGACCGGCAGAAATATGAATGAAGACCTCATTTGGGTGATGTTCCAAGGACACCTGAGGGAGAAAAACAATTGTTATTTCTTTAACTCCATCCCATTGAATCACATTTTGGAAATCCTAATAAAACGTCCAGTTCATCATTCAAATTAAATCTTTCAAAGTTCAAACCAAGTTCATTTATGAAACTAATTCTAAAGTCATTATCCCAACTAGCCCGTAGTTTCACAATATCCTTTCCAAAGGGTTAAGCAAATGGCACAAATAGTCTGTGAAACACATAAAACTAAGAGAAATAAATTCTATAAACTGAACTTTTTTTTTTTTTTGGGGGGGGGGGGAATTAAATGCTCTGATAACCAATTAAAGGAATAAGAAAGTGAAGGCTTAAAAAACAGTCAAATTAACTGTTCATGTTAAACTAATGGTAAATAAGGCGCTGACATTGACATTCAATAAATTCTCTAATTACACAGTAGTTTGTAATACACTAAACCTAATCCTGGTTACTAATCTTATGGCGTGCCTAAACAACTTTTCAGTTTTCATCATGACTAAATCTAAATTAAAAATCAAACCACAAAAGTAAGATGGTTAAAGTACCATAAACAGAGGCCCATCCCGTCCAGCATCAAGAATTTCTGAAATATAACAACACATACTTGTTGGATCTAAGATACTTAAGTATCTTACACGGCTTCTAAATCCTGCATCAATTCATTGAATTTGCATCAATTAAATGTACAGTAAAAAAAACTTAGGGAACAAGAAATTAATTATAAACTACGCACTCATATACCCTTTGGAAATATAGTCCGACTGTTGCACCATGACTTTCCAGAAAATATAATTCCAAATTCTAGAGGCTCAACATTGCAGTTGATACGCCGGACAACCTTTGCTATCCGAGGACCTTTCTGACGATAGTATCTTCCCAAATTGTTTGGACTGCAAGACAGGTTTCCGTTAACAACTCTACTATTATTTGCACTACATACTCCAATCTTCTCATGGTTGTCCTCGTTCTTAGGCTTGACACTCCCAGAATGCTCTGGATTCAAAGGACGACTCTCAGAAGAACCCAGACAATGATCTCCACTCTCTCCCGTTGAGGAAGCCTGAATTTGTCTGACTGATTCTGCACTACCATGACCGGTATTGCAGGAGAAATCCACTAGGGTAGAATCTAAAACTGCCCCCTTAATTATATCATGTTCCCGTTTTGCATGCAAATAAGCTGAGTGAGAACTCATATTTTCATGAGACACATCATTCCCAACCTTTAGAGTAGCATCCATGACATCAGGGTCGGCCAGTGAGACAATGGGTGGGATAGTCCTGTCTGGATCTTCTTTACAATTGCATGGGTCTAGTCTCTCACAAGAACCTATAAGCCTTTGAGAAAGCTCTTTCTTGCTATCTGTTTCTGTCATCTTAGGTTCATCAGTTTCGTCATCACTAAGAAGTATAACATTATCTTGTCCATAAGGAGTTTTCTTAGGTCCATGTTCAGCTAAAGGAAGAGGCAAAGAATATGAAGTCTCCCCTACTGGATTCCCAACAGCAGATTCGCACATAATTGATTCTTTCTCAGAATATGTCTCGTGACTAGTCATCTCACATGGGGTTGTCCAGCCATTAGATGTAGACAGTTCTTTTGAATAACCCAAGGAAATCACATCTTCTGTTGATTTTCTTAGTTTTATAAAACCCTGATCAATGCTTTTTGCAGAAGTCATCAGATTCTCTATTGGGACATCTATCAAATGAGAATCTTCAATAGAAGCAAATGACGGATGCAATGTCATCTCCTTAAGCATAGTGCCGCAAGAACCAGACGGATCTGATGAATCTAATCTCAACTTGTGAAGCATCGTTTCCTTTGAAGACTGAATTAAGTAACCACATTGGCTTTTGTCTTTTGATAATGAAGAAGTTAGCGCCAGCCCAAGATCTGCTTTTGCCCATCTGTATACTGCACTTAACTTTCCTTCCAATGCCTCAACGAGGATGAATAATTCACTAATATCATAACGGAAGAGGAAGAATTTGGAACCCAAAGCACATGAACAGAACTGCTTTGCATGATCCAAACAAGCATATCGTTCTGGGGAACAATGGCATCCAGCTGCAGATAAGTGTAAATCAAAATAGCAAACACTGCATTCCCTTTCACTTGTGGCATCAAAACTGCTCTCCATTTTCAATGCCTGTGAAGAACTGCAGAGAAATTTCCTCCTTACTTGCTCCATCTCAACGCGTGTCTAAGAAACACAACATAGAAAAGTCAGAAGGTAAAGTTAACTAGGTGACATAATTTCAATGCCAAGGGTGAATCCGAGGATAGAAACTTTTGTTTCAAGAGAACGTTCCGAGAAAGATGCCTAAAAGATGATGTTGAAATACGATAACAAAAGATTGAAAAAAAAAAAAACTGAATATTTGGCACATCAAACAAGGTTTCATACTATTTCTTGTGAGTCATCACTTTGGGGAACTGAAATCCATTTTGCCATCATGCTGTTTAGATCAGTGACAGATCTAAGATTAAAGCTGTTTTTTCCTGGCGTGGGTTAATACAACTCACTTTTTTCCTAGCCCCATTTTCTCCCAAACAAAATTTTCATTGATAAAAATCAATATTCCCATGTAGGTATAGTACTTAATGATAGCACTAACCTTGAGTGCTTTTGCTAGAACACCATCTTTTCCACAGACATCTTTCCACCCTAAATTATCCGAAGTATTCTTCTTCAACAGATCAAGCTCCCACAGTGCTCGTACTGCTTCCCTAGCAGCCCCAAGCAACAGTTTGTCATGAGATATAGAAGTCTTACGACCTTGCTGCTGGTATAGCTCAATGGCAATCTGCCCGTGGGGCAGCCAGTCAACTGGAGCTACATTAACAGCCTCTGCACAGTTGAAGCCACAATTGAATCCAGAATGATACGCTCGAGGGAATGTCAGAACAAACTCTCCGGGGTTCTGGACACACCTATAGACAGGCACTCCTTCAGACTTGAGGATAGAAGGAGAAAGCTGAGTGACCTGCAAGAATTGGATAAATAAATATGGCTATTATGTTAACCAAATAATACAAATATGTAATGACAGAAATGAAACTAAAAAGGATGGAATATGAATGAACACGACTTAGGTGCTACTCTGTAGCAATCCAAAAAGCATAACCCCATTACCTATCTTGTAAGATTACACAAACAAGACCAGAAAAAGAATGACACGTGAAGCAGGAGCCAGATAAGTGAACTCCACATGCAATGACATCAAGAACAAATTACATTTGTGGGGGAAATCTATAACTCACCAGCTTATGAAGCAAATCAGGTTGTTCTTTGAAAAGGTCCGGTAAATGCTTTCTCATGGCCTCTTCCAATTTGCAAGCATCTTTGCCAGGAACACCATACCACATTTTTGGAGCACCCCAATGCATGTAATTCAATGAATATAAATGGTGATCCTCCACATGCTTTAACATTAAACCATCATGAAAAGAATTAGCAGCTGCAACAACTAAATATGCTAGCTTAATAGCATCTCTCTCTCCCTCTCTGTGTGTCACACACACACACACACACACACGTACAAACAAAAGTTCAGTAAAGGAGATAGAACATGTGAAGAAACATTTTGGAATAGCACAAATCAGGGTCAAGTTGTCAAATATATCAATCCCCTGTATCAAAAATCATACCCCCACCAAGTCCAGCCTCCCATTTTAGGGGCATGAACAGAAACTAAGAAGCTCCATACACATGGCACAAAAAAACATAACACGCGCAGACACAGTTCATACAAACAATCTGACTTGTTCATGGAAGTTATGAATAAATAGGCTATAACACATCCCCCTTATCATGGTAGTGGTATAAAAGAAAATATACATGAGACTACCCTTATTACAAGCAAGAATAATGTGAACAAACCAGGAAATACATGTAGTGACTAGGGAATGAGGGAGAGATGTAGCTCTTACCCAACAAAAGGAAGAAAAACACATTCCTATATACAACCATGGCACAAGACACCAGATATATCGCTGCTTTCATATGAAAGTAGAGATCCAGGAAGCCTAGCAAAGTTATTTAAATTCCAGCCAGACTTTATGTACTCTGAGTGTGAATCAGAACCAACTTCACTATGCTTTTTGGGAAAACCACTCCCAAAAACCCCAGTTTCCAGGTCAGCTCCATAAAGCACCTAAAAGGGAATACAAAATTTAAGGTAAGGATAGGTACCAGTTGAACACAGAAAGTGGGCAGCAATTGCATGAAACTGTAAAATATTGAAACTTTAAGTGACCTCAATTTCTTCAGTAGGTCTCTCCACCATTCGCCAATATTCACCCTCTATGTTCTCCACAGAAGGCTCCCATTCTTTTGACATTGTTGTATTACCTCCCATATTAGATATGTTCTCATTCTTTCTGAAGTATCTGGCCTTAAATTCATCTGCATACCTCTGAAATGTTTCCAAAGTAAAGTCTGGGCCAGGTTCAAACCCAAAGGGCCTTTCAATCTCACAAAATCCTGCATTAGGTCCTCTGTTACTGCCATTATCCAATCCCATTCTAGGGCATCTTTTCCTTTTCCGTCTGGAATTAAAATGAATCCTTGACATCTTTTTCATTGAATCACGATTCTGAAGCTTATCAATCCTCTGAACACGAGTAGCAAATTTAGAACCCTCCCATATTGTCTTCCCCTTAAGAGGACAAGGGGGCTTCCAAGATGAAGGGGGAACAATGCGACAAATGCCATATGGTTTTGCTCTGGAACAAATACTTGCTATGTATTTCATGGTATCTTGAAACTCCTGAAAAAAATCAGATATGTCAAAGATCTGATTCTCCAGTATAACTTAAATAAAATGATTGATAATGGCGACAGATGAGAATCCAAATATGCCACAAAAGCTCATCAAGACCTCTTCAGTTGGGTAAAAAACAGGAGCATCCTCAAGGGCAGGCCTGCAAGCATCTTCTGGTCTCCATTTGGCGATAACCTGTCACAAGATTTTAGATGTCAGTAACTTATATCATGCAAGAATAACAGCATTTTGTCATCACTAAGCATTACAATTGTGTTGGTACATATGAAGATGACACAAAGAGGTCTTTTGCTAACACTAAGCATTACAATTGTTTTGGCACACCAGAAAAATCCCTCATTCAGTGAACTACATAACACAAATATAAGGCCACAAATAACTAATGCAAATGATATTCTGTAACAGGAATAAGGCAAAAATCTGAAAATATAACCTTTTGGCAATTACTGCAATCTGGACATCCACGGATAACTCCCTTTGGAAGGCAAGGCACTGAGGAAAAATTCTGCATCGACAATAATGTCATACATTAATTTTAATATCATATCACTAAACTCCAACCCCATACGCTAAAACTGAACATAAGACTAACTTGATCAAGCCGCTCAGAATCAGAGTCTTCCTCTGAACTGTTATCTCCATGGTTGATCCATCGTCTTCGTCGAAGGGACCTATGAACCTTTGCACTATCACTAACTTGAACATCAGTTTTAGGCTGAATTGACTGTAGTTTACAATTAGAAACACTTGTAGAGACGGAAAAACTAATCATGTTGTTATCATTCTGCTTCTCAATGCCTTCCCCCCTATTCAGTGAGGAAGAAGTATATGACTCAAAGCCAGGTGGAACTGATGGAAACTCATCGTTATCTTCTTGGACACATGTTCTCATGAGCTCTGTCCCCATTAGTAACCTCTTACAAAGGCAATATGAAATATATCTGGACGTGGTTGTGTTATCTGTATGGGGAAAGAAGGGGGAAAAAAAAAGAGTCAGAAAAGCAAAATCTGCAAACAAGGTTCTATTAAACTTCCTGAGATGTCTCCAACAATTAAAATACTTACTGTGAAGAATGGCTATGAAGCGAGAAATGCAAAATATTTAGGTCGTTCAAACTTCTGCTGCATACTACAACTCAAATAAATAACACTATTGCAGGTAATGCAAAGATCCAGTATCTTCAAAAATGGCTGGAAAGCATCAAATCTGCAACGTGACACATCAAAAGGAGAGAAAAAGAGCTCAGATAAAGTGAAAAATTGGCACCCAAAAATGGTCTCTGATTATCCACCACAATGGCAAGTTAGAACCTCAATATGTTGTTAGATATTGAATATAATCATGAAAATTTAACTCATAAATATATTGAGAGATGGCACAGAAACTTCAGGTACTTGTTTACTTTATCTATGAAATGAGATGTTTCTCACCATATTTGCACCTATAGCTGTTTCATACAGAACATATTTCCAGCAAGAATTAATCACCGGTTGATCAACAAATGTGCACTCTTGTTTCAATAAACAAGACTAACTCATAAGCGAATGCCTCAATGATGGGAAATGCATAATTTGAATGTGCAGTTTGAAGAAGGAAAAATAACAGAATTTAGTCCAAACATAACACACATGTCACTTGTGTAAATAACAAAATATATATGTCAAGATAACAGAGCACGAGTGAATACCAAAATTCAATCCGAACAAAATATACATATCACTTGCGTAAATAACGAAATTCACTCTTAATTATTCAGGGTCCAAGTGTGATGAAGAAGCAAAAACATCCAACTCTGCATCGAGCAAATTTAGTGCAAAAATGTAAGCATCGTCTAAGAGGTAATGATGCTTCAGTCATACCAAGCTCACCGAGAATAAATAGAAAAAGTGACGGTGACTTGAAGATGCTAAACCAAACACAACAGCCTTAGCAGTAATTTTCAATTTTAATTTACTAAGAGATCAAACATCACTTTTAAAATGTTCATTTTATAATCAATTGCAATGGAATCGGTAAGCACAAATGAAGAAGAAAAGGTGTATACTGAAATTTAAAAACATTTAACGGGGACATTTGCCAAGATTAGCAGCTAAATTAACTTTTGATCTGCCCGATTGTAAGGGAAAAGGTAATTCAGAAATCAATCAGAACCTCAACCATAATATTAAAGCTCTTTTGGAATGGATCTTCAGGAGCTTTAGTTATCATTAACCAGTATCTATATGTCCAAAAAGAAAGAGGTACAAAGTAAACATTGTTATAAAACTCATCAGACCATTATTATCTGGAATTTTCAACTAGATAAAACTAAACTGTCGTGGCAACGATAAAAAGAATCCTTATGTTATTTTACTTAGTTCACAAACTTGGTATCAGTTTGATAAAATCCACAGAAAAGGTCACTATTATTCAAGAATATACGTACATATCAATATATAGATATAGATGTGTGTGAGAGACACTTAAAATAATCAGAATTAAGCTTACATGTTGTTGATCCGGATGTCTGAAATTCCACTTGAACTAAATGCAGTATTATAACCCCAGAAAATCTTTTAAATATGAAGCTCACTTGGCTAACCATATGATTAAGAGTGAGGACGAAAACCCTAACTTCAACAGAAGATATTTAAAACAAACAAAAAAAAGGGAAAGGGCATCTGAGGGAGCAGATCTAACCCTAACCCTAAATCAGATTGCAGGAAGAGAAAGCACTGAGCCACAACACTTCACCCACAATTTAAGGGTCCACAGATTCTTATATGACAAACAGACCCCAAAAGGCCAAAACAATAACAAAGATCCAACTGCAAAAGATAAAGATTTAGGAAAAGATTAGGCGTTGCTTATGTTTCAGACGTTACCAATTTTACGGGGGGCGCAGACAAGGGTAAATCCGGAAGAAGAATTATTGGGTCCAGCTGATCAACAAACAGATTTCCGTGAGAAAAAAGGAAGGGAAATTGGCTGGAATGGTTGAATTATAATGGAACGTTTTGGGTACACTTCGCACCCTCCTGGTAGCCATGAATTAAAAACAAAACATACACACACATTTAATAATGCTTGCCGAGACTAAGAGAGTGTTTAGTAATCCTTAAAATTAATTTTAAGAAACATTTTTATATAAAATGAAACAAATTTTTTTACGTATTTATTTTGTAAATTGTAAAAATATTTTTAAAATTATAATTTGATTTTTATTCAAACATCTCGTTCACAGGAAAGTTAGAAAACTTATCAAGCAGTTTAAAAGTTTTTTTTTGTAATTTGAAAGAAAAGGAAAGTCGAGAAACTGAGGTTATAAAATATCGAGCGTTGGTGCTTGGAGGAATTCCCACCGCGTGGAAGGGATGGCGCTTCAAAAAGCAGAAAGGTTCTGACGTGTACATATTGCAGTGTTTTTATTGTTTGATTGGTTTTTTATGGTATGAATTATTTAATGATTATGATATGATGTGTCCCTTCTTAAATACTCCTCCGGTCCTTATTATAAAACCCAATTTGGCTTTTTATTTAGTCCTAATTATAAGACCCAATCCATTTTGTCTCTTATATTTATGTAATTTTTTTCCAAGATAATCCTTCTAATAATGATAGTTTTAGCCAATATACTTAATTAGCAAGGATATTTTAGGAATGATAATACTTATTTATTATAAATAACCAACTTAACTTACTTCCTTAATTTCCTCAAATAAGTCAATTGAGTCTTATAATTAGGACCGGAGGAGTATAAACATATTTAGGGGAAGTTTTGGTTAAATCTCAAATTTACGGTAGAAAATTGAATCTTCTATTTATATCATAGCTGATCTTTTCGGTGTGCTTTTTCATTTTTTTTTAAAAACGAGTCAGATCAATTTTTTCATTAACGGCTCTGTGCAAAAATAATCGAGATCAGTCACATAATTTATAAACATGTCTTTTGATTTTGAGATGAGTTTCGTTTTAGTCGCTTGATATTATTAGATTTTATGCTACTATTTTAATTTTTAATATGATATGAATTTTTTTTATTTTTAATGTTGATGAATAAATTAATAAAAATGATAATTTGTGTGATAAATACTCATTTCGTCATTATTAGTGTGACCTAAATAGAATGTTTAGACACAATTTTAAAATGAAAAAGTTTTATCTGCGCTGATCAGAGGTGGAGAAATGGAGAATTTAACTTGATGTTTTTGCACTATAAGTAAAACATGACTCTTTTGGTGCGCACATAAGAGCCGCGCGTCTGAACGTAAATATATGAATTGGCTTTAATTGGCAAACGAAAATTAGTTAGTCTTGCTGGTTTGAAAAAAAAGAAAAAGCTACAACCAAGTATCACGGAAGAGAAATAATTACTGAAAGGTCCCAATAACAATCTCAACAGCTTATAATAACAAATCCTATAGTGAGAATGACTATTTCTGAAACTTGTTTTTTAATTGTTTTTCTTACTTGGAAGTTCATTGTAATTTTTCTTTAAAAAAAAAAAAGTTAGTCTCGAGGTGAGGGGTTCCTCTTTTTACGTTGAAAAGTCTCAAGGGTCCGTTTTGATCCTCGTATCACGTATGAGTATAATTATATCAATGGTTATATTTAAAATCAAATTAAATATTAAAATAATTATTATATTAAAGATGCGAGGTGGTATTTTTTTTTTCAAACTAGTCACATATTTATCCTTATATATGATATATAAATTATATTGACAGCAGTTATTATAAATTATTAAAACGAATGACGCGTTCAAAAAGTTAACTCGCACCGAACAATTTACTTAACCTAGGAATAGTATTCAGTCATTACAAGGTCATGGCCTTCAATATTTTATTACGATGTTTTGAAAAAATCCGGTTTAAGCCTTACAAATATTTTAATTACAAGTATTAGAGTAATTGATCAATAATAAGAATGACATGGTTGTGTTCATTTTTTTGTTACAGCTTAATTAACAGGCATAAGAATCTTAACAAAAATGTTTGACCATGTTCTGAAAATAAAAATGTTAACTCAAAATTTAATAAAACTAATCAAGTTTTTTTAATCATATTTGATGATGGTCAACAGTTTTGCATACCATCAACTACATGTTTTTTTTGGCCAACAATCAAGTGCATGTTTTAAACTAATTAAGTTGAAGGGAGTGTGAAATTAATACTGCTATTACATAGTTAATTAATTTGAATCGATTAAAAAAATTAATTAAATCAATTATTTGTAATATTGTGCAATTCATGCGAAATAAAGAAAAGTCAACCAATATGCTCTTTCTGTCATTACCACTACCACTTATTACTTAATTACCAACCACCTGATAGTTAATTATATATTTTTAATTTAATGATTAATGAAAATTAGGGTGCAATCCTTCATAAATACCCAATCCACTACTTCTTCTTTTTTTGGAGAATTACAATAAGATTCCAATAAAGAAAAATAATTACAAAATAAGTCGTAGAGGTTATAATTGTCTACTCTAAAATTTATTATTATAAGCTGTTTAGATTATTATTAGGATTTATTGTTAATTATTTTTCTTATTGGGATTTGTTTTTAATTCTCCTTGTTTTTTTTTTCCCCTCCAAATACAAGAGAGAGAAAAAGCCCAAATCAAGACCGAAATTATCGGCCCAGCTTAGAACTATAAGCCAACGACCTCGTATGGGTAGAAAGCCTACGAACCCAGGCCGGTGTGGCTCATCCCGCAGTCGAATCTCCTCCAGCATAGCACCGCCAGGATTAACGAAGAAGAAAACTGGTTAGGGACCTCACCTCCGGACAACCCTAGCTTAACGTCCCTGTCCATCGTCAACGTTCTTTACTCGCCGTTCATACTCTGCGCCTTTTCCGTTTTCGCATGGAAGGAGAGGGGTCTGTGGGGACCAAAATGAATCGTAAGTTCCTTTTCTTGCGTCAGTCCTTAGTTCCTTGCCTGTTACTCACTGCTCCAATATTTGTCTCTTGTCTCCCGCTGCCGCTATGAATTTCCCTTCTCAATCTACGGTTAACTCCAATCTATCTCGTCATTAAAATTTACTTATGGTACTCGGCGGTGCTTCTAAAATTGTGAATTTTTTGCTGGTATTTAAATATGTTACCAGTATTAGCTGTGTTTCATATTGTCTCTATGAGAGGCTTGTCTTTTCCTGTTACAATCTTGTTCCTTTTCGGTGAACAGGGTGTTATAATTTTTATTTTGAAGTAGTTGCAGAGTTCGCTGAGTTGATTGCTTGGTCATATAGATTAGAATTTTGAAGTGTTGTGTTTATGATTTTGCTAGTTGCTTTTATGATATTCCCGATATATATATTTGTATTTGTAGATGTATGTGTGTGCGTATATATATTTTACTTACACAGGCCTGGTTTTCGATGTGCACCAGCAGACGAGAAGGTGAACTTATTGCTGTCAACCCGTGGATTTTATCAATCTGAACCAAGCCCTATTGTTTTTTGTCGAATTGGTTAGTTCAAAAGGATATGGATTGCACAAATAGATTTTTATAGCTTGAGAGTAGGTTAGTCAAGATACCTGGACAAAGATGGGCTATGCAGTTACCCTACAGAATAATATGTTCAAATTCAACTGTTTACACGGTCTATATGGGTGTCACAAACAGGAGTGCCGTGCTTTTGATAACTTCTCAAGAACAAAATCATCTTCCTATAGCCTAAACTCTTTCCAGTGTAGAAGCCTCAAATCTTCAAGGAAAGTGCATATTTCGCAGTGTAGAAGTTTTCAGAGAAGTATTTCTATTGACAGAGTCAATGAAGTTGATCATAAAGACTGGGGCTTTGAAAATTTTGATAGTGGTAATGGTAATGGAAGAAAATCCAGGAAACAACTGGATTCAGACAAGACCATAGACTCTTCAATTTTGTTGCTAGAAGGGCCTTTTGTCAGAAATGACGAGGAAACCAACAATAAAGTTCTTCAGAATCTCTGCGAACAAGGAAGATTAAAGGCTGCAGCCAGATTGATTGATGTTATGGCTCGGAAAAATCAAATTCCTCACTTCCCTTCTTGCACGAATTTAATTCGAGGCTTTATTAAACTAGGTCAGATAGATAAAGCTTGCAGAATACTGAAAATTATGATAATGTCTGGTGGTGTTCCTGACATAATTACATACAACATGATTGTTGGTGGGCTGTGTAAAAGAGGTCACTTAAGATCTGCCATTGATATTCTGGGAGATATGAGCTTGAGTGGTTGCACCCCAGATGTAATTACCTATAATACAATAATTCGTTGCATGTTTGATAATAGAGAATTTGATCAGGCTGTTAGTTTCTGGAAGGACCAATTGAGAAAGGGATGTCCGCCTTATCTGATTACGTACACAGTTCTTATCGAGCTGGCATGCAAATATTGTGGCACTGTTCGGGCCTTAGAAGTATTAGAAGATTTTGCAACAGAGGGCTGTTATCCTGATATTATAACATATAACAGTCTCGTTAATTTCACTTGTAAACAGGGGAGATATGAGGACACTGCTTTGGTTATTTTAAATCTTCTATCCTATGGGATGCAGCCCAATAATGTGACATACAACACTCTGATCCACTCCCTTTGTAACCGCGGATGTTGGGATGAAGTCGATGAGATTTTGATCATCATGAATGAGACTTCCAGACCTCCCACAGTTGTTACGTACAATATTCTGATTAATGGATTGTGCAAGAGTGGACTTCTAGATCGTGCGATAAGCTTCTACAATATAATGGTTTCTCAGAACTGTTCACCGGACATTGTTACTTACAATACTCTTCTAGGTGCTATGTGTAAGCAGGGATTTGTGGATGAGGGCATCCAGTTACTTCACTTTTTGGTCAGTACTAGCTGTTCTCCTTGTTTGATTACCTATAATACTGTAATTGATGGGTTGGCCAAAGTGGGATCTATGGATAAAGCAAAAGAGTTATACAGTGAAATGGTAGAAACGGGATTCATTCCAGATGAAATCACTCACCGTACTCTGATTTGGGGATTTTGCCGAGCAGGGCAAGTTGAGGATGCTGTGGAGCTATTACAGAAGATGTACAACGAAGAACATAGCATTGGGAATTCTGCTTACAAACTTGTCATCCTTGGATTATGTAGACAAAAAAAGGTCGATGTTGCCATTCAAGTTCTAGATATGATGATAAAAGATCAATACAAGCCAGATGACGGGATATATTTGGCTATAATTAAAGCTGTTGCGGACGGGGGGATGATTAAAGAGGCAAATGATTTGCATCAGAGGTTAGTTGAAAGGAAGATTCTGAAAAATGGAACCATTTTGAGTTGATTGGAATCTGCCCGCAAAGACTATCTTGCTTGAATGATTCTGGCCGTGTGCAAATTTTGCAATTCTATGAGGCGATTTGTGTAATTATATTTGTTTGAGAGTACTGAGCTCTTTTCGTTTGTTAAAGTATTTTGGTGTATACCATGAGTTTTGTCCTTTCTAAATCACAGTATTTACATCATTGATGCAGCTGCTTTTATAAGTTGGAATCAAACATGAGATCTGCTATTCTGCTACCCTGTTGCACGAGGTCAAGTGCATTTTCCCTATCGAATTTCAATGTTCCTTGATAACAACTATAGAAAGCCACTTAGGGGGGTGTTTCTGTGATGCCAAAAGCTAAATTAAGGTCCTTTACATATTTACTTTGTATACTGTAAAATCACTTTCAAAATCAAGTTTGGTTTCTATCTAAATATCTATTACCTTATATTATTCTATTTGCTTGACTGAGCATTGTGCAATTCTAAATTGTATCGGCATTAAACAATGAAATGGCCAAAGGATGTGAAGAACATTTTTTTGTCTAAGGACCTAAGAGTTCTATGGTGAACTGCACAGCCAACGGATTGACATGACGGAGGAAGAACATCATAGCCTCAAAGGTCTAGGGGTTTTGTTGTGGATTTAGATGACTTAGTTAACATGGGATTCTGTGTTTGAGAGAAACAAGATTCTTTAAACGAGAATGCGATTAATGAATTATGAAAGTATTGCTTGACAAGGCAAAAGGGGTGACAGGTTTCCTTTTATATTATTTTTGGATAGGACGTTTTATTCGTACGCACCCATTTTCCCTTGTCCTAGTTCTCGCAAGTCTCAAGCACAGGGACCCTTTTGGTGTCAGCCGTTTTGTCCCCCATTTATTTGATCAAGGAGGTGAGATTTCTGGAAGCTTATAAACACTGTTGACATCCCCGATAAATTCGAGTAAAATTAGAAAGAATGGCTTGTGTGTTGCATGTGTCATCCTAATTGACTTTCAAAACAATTCGAACTGGAGAATAATTGACGAAAGAGTATTAATTATAAGGCAAATCACACAATTTTGACTTCACACAAAACTTGTACATCTGTACACAGTAGATATGCTAGGTGTGAAAGCAAATTTTTAAAAATGGACAGGGATATGGATAAATTATCGATGATCAAATTTGGCCGCCGTCATCGAAAATATTGAAATTTTCACTGAAGGCAACTCGAACATGATTCGGTTATAGATCAGAACTCGTCGCATGAATATCTGGTACAATTCCTCATCAGCGTAATTTAAATGCAATGTATAATCGTCATTCCCGTCTTCACGTTTTCTATCCTCCCACCCATGGAGTTCGCACCGAAGTAGAAGTCGTGGCCGTTGAAGAGAACTTGCACCAGGCCAAACACCAATATCTGAACCCCTCGATCCTTCCACAATCAGAAATCCATCTCGAATTCTGTCTAATTTTTGTTTAATCCGTACAATTTCAATGAAGAAAGCCCATCGGGGCACAGAATCGAATTGACGAATTCAGTAGTCGTCCCTGACTGACCATCTGTCAAAGTACTCGTAGAACTGGCTTCAACTTAAAAGCCCAGGGAGAAGACCAGAATAAAATCAATTAATGTCCAAGAATCTAGCTCTTAATTTCCGATAAAGTGAGATCTTTGTACACGTCAAGCATGGGGAAGGTTTTGTTTAGACGTTTAAACGAATCTTCAGAAATAGCATCCATACCAACAAGGGAATTGGCCAGCTCCATCGCGTCATTTCGCCATCCAGCAAAACCAATCCCTTCAATCAATAACGTGTATGTGGTTTCATTTGGCCGACATCCCTTCTCGACCATTGCAGTTAATACCTCAATGGCATCAACGATTCTGTGTACTTTGCACAGCCCAAGAAGAGCAATGTTGTAGCTGATGACTGTCGGCTGATGCTTGCTGCTTTCCATGTCCACTAACAATCCAATGGCCTCATCCACCAGTCCATCTCGGCACAAACACGATATGAGCGAGTTATATGTAATCCCATCAGGATCGATTCCCTTGTCTACCATCTCCAGAATCATCCCCAACGCTCTAATTTTGTCTCCACTACTCCAGAGCGCACAAAACATTGTGTTATAAGAACTGACATTTGGAGGACAACCCACCTCTTCAAGCTTCTCAAAGATGTTGAGAGCCTCATCAGCTTTTCCATTCTTGCACAGAGTGGCCAAGATTGTGTTGTAATTCACAATATCTGGCAAGCAGCCATCGGAGATCATAATTTCCAGAAATTCTATTGCCAAATCAACTCTACCTTCTCTGCAGAATGCAGAGATCAACGGATCATAGCTATAAGCGTCAGGAGTTAGCCCCTTTTCCTTCATAGCCTTCAACACATCTACAGCCTCCTCGACTTTCCGGTCACGACAAAGTGAGCTGATTAAAATGCTGTAAGTGACCACGTTTGGTTCACAGCCTCTGAGAATCATATCAGCCATCAACTTCTCTCCCTCCTTCCATTTTCCTTGATTCAGAAGTCCACGCAACAGAATATTGTACGAAATCACATCCGGGGCACAGGCCTTAGAACTTATAGTCGAAATGAACTCAAAGGCTCGATCTAACAACCCTTGTCTGCACATGCCCCGGATGATTGCATTGTACGTGTACATGTCAGGTTGCAGCCCTCTTGATAACATCTCATCCAAAAGCTTCATGGCTTCATCAATACCACCCTCGAGAATGGTTGCTTCTATTAAGATTGTGTAGGTAATTACAGTGGGCTCGCACCTGTCTTTCAGTAGCTGCTCCAAAACCTTCAAAGCCAACTCAAGCTTTCCCCTACCTGAAAGATTCCCAATCAATATGTTGTAGGTGACGACATCAGGAGCAAAACCTCTGCTTTTCATTCTGTCAAGCACTTTGTTGGCAGAGTCAATCCGGTCAGCCTTGCACAGCCCACTAATCACTGCATTATAGGCGAACACATCGGGTTCACCGTGCTTCTCCAGTATTTCCATGACCCGAATGGCTTTGTCGATTCTCTTAATGTTGAAGAACCCTTTGATGAGTTTCGTGCAGAGAATGACATCGGGTTTGTAACCCTTATTGACCATACGCTGGAGAAAGTACAGGGAATCGTTGTATTTGCCCACTTTCGAGGACCGGTTGAGAGCTTTCATCAGGTGGGTATCTTTGAAGTCAAAATTTTGGGAATGTTTTGACCTTGTTTCGGAAGAAACCCGGGCATATCCCGAGTTCCTTCCATTGCTAGCGTCATTTAGAAGCGGGTTCTTGCAGCTCAGAGAGTAGGGATTTAATTTTGAATGTGAAGTAGGCTTCTTCGGCTGGATTCTATACGGGATGGTTCGCGGGAGGAAGTCAGTAGAAAATGTTGTCATGGATGAAGATGATTCTCACGGCTTCTGCTCTTCATAGACGGACAATAAGTTTGCAGATTAAAAATCTCCGAAAGAAGATGAAGTGCCTGTGATTTCTGGACGCGCCAAGTGGGAACCAAGAAAGCGTGAAATCGGGCCGTTGAAGTGGATCGATTGAGCCGTCCTCTGATATGCGCCCAAAACATCCATTGGATTTCCGGACGCGAGTTGTGGATAAGAGATTGGATCCCGCAATCTCGCCATACCACCCTTTCGTGTATTAGTACTATTATTTCAAATAAAAATTAACTAATACTACCTGGTGTGTCTTGGGTATAAAAATTAGTTAATTAATTTGAATAAATTAAGAAAATAAATTAATTTAATAATTTGTTATAAATATATATTGTTTTTCTTAAAATATTTTTGTTAATCAAGTTTATTTGCTAGAATTACCATTATTAGAAGAACTGCCTTAAAAAATAGATTAAATATAAGAGATGAAGTGGATTTAGGTCTTATATTCAAGACAAAAATAAAAATCAAATGATATCTTATATTAAAGATCAGAGGTAATATTACTAATACTACTACCTTTGGTCCTTAATAAAAGACCTTGTTTAACTTTTATTTTGGTCCTAAATATGAGACCTCAATCTACCTTGTCTCTCATATTTATACATTTTTTTCTAAGATAATAGTTCTAACTAATATATTTGATTAGTAAGGATATTTTAGAAAAAACAATATTTATTTATTACAAATAACTAATTTTAACTTCTTTCCTTAATCTCTTAAATTAGTCAACTAGTTCTTATAAATAGGACTGGAGGTAGTATTTTTTTAAGATAAATAAAGTAAACTTTCTTTTCCTTTTTTTATTAAAAAAACTTTATGATAGTTGGGTAATGAAGACTCACCAAATTTGTGAGGCATTTAGAAATCACCCACTAAAAAGAACCTTACGTTAAATGCAATTTCGATCTCCCAACTTTATACGGTATAAAGTGACTTCTTGCAAGAGCGTGTTTGGATATAACCAAATCATGGTTTAGAGAAGTGAGAATGTTTGGATAGTTATTACCAGAAGCACTTTTTACATGTACAAATTACTAAAAAAGATATAAGTTAATATGATAATTACAGAAAAAATATATTTTATGATAGATTTTAATTTGAAGGAATAAAATTGTTAATAATATATTTTTTATTAACATAATTAATAATACATAAGATAATATAATTAATATATAATTAATAATAATTAATATATATATTTATAAGATATAAGATTAAATATATTTATAAAAATATGTTTATAAAAAAAACAAAATACATATCCTGTAGGCTCTCAAACTCTCCCTTTTTTTTTCAAAAGCAAAAAAATTTTGTTTTTTCCAAAACTATGGTTTTGGTTTTTTTAAGGGTGTTTGGGTGATTGGGTCCCCAAACCATGGTTTGGGTTATCACCCAAACACCCCCAAGTCTTGCTGTTAACTTTCTCTTCCATTTTAAATAAACTCGAAAAGATGTCACAATCAAGGCATGATAAAACATTATTTGCTCATCTAGAATCATGATTATATGTATTTATAAACATATTTTATGTAAGTTTAAACAAAACTTATTTTTTATGGTTATATCATATTTTATAATATAATTAAAAAGTCACTTGTAAGTTATTTCAAACCGCAGTCAGCATTTAAATTATTCACACTCACTCTTCAGTTACTATTTAATTGGGTGAATTGACATGCGTTATATGATCATGACCGCGTTGAACCCAATGCATTACTTCACAGCCTTCAATTGTGCTGTGTCGGATTTTATCCCACAGGGGCATCCTTCTACGTTTGATTTTGTTGGGAATCCAGATCTCCAAGCCCTATCATAGCAGAGCTATTGAATAAGAAGGAATGAGGCCAGGCCAAGCTGTGCCGATAACTCATCACCGATGTTGACTTCTGTCGCCAAGCAGCAACGGCAGCCACATAAACTTCTGGATCATATCATGATTCCATAATTCCCGCGAAACCAAGTCATCGTGTTCCGACTGTGGAAGCCCCCAACATAATAAACGAGAAACCTAAACTCTCACTCCCTCCGATCTCCCCCATGGATTCACAGTCATCTTTTTCGATTCGGGATCCAAGTGAGACTGCCTGCCTGCTGTCATTTGTTTTTCAATTTGATTTATGTCCCTGCAGGTCTCTATTACTTTCTTGCATGTACAATATGATAGCAAGCGCCGATAGTATTTTAGTCACTGCCATTAGTTTCTACTAGTTACAAACTTTTAAATGGCATGCCTACATAATTAAAAAAAAAAAAACTCATAAAATTTCCCCGTGATTTTGACATATTATAATTTATTTCTCAAGATTTAACTTGGTACAATTCAATCTGTCGATTTTTAATTATTTATTTTTTTCATTGCATTTTATGTTTAGTTTACAATTTAATTTACTAAATAATTATTTTTGAAAGGTGGCAGAAGCCAATAGATTAAACAACTAAATTTAAAGAATTGAGGTGAGCGAGTTAAAATCCAATCAAGCTAAATAAGTTAAAATTACAAGAGGCTAAGTAATAACATATTCAGTGTATTATTAAGGAGTTGCTTAATCGAAGGCTTGTGTATGTTGAAATGGTCCCATAATCACGCCCCTTGTCCAGTAAGCACAGATCGCATATGGAGGGCCTGTTCAATCTCACTCTGTTAGAAAACACTACCCAGCTGATACGATCATGCAAAGATTCCTCGGCAAAAAAAGGTCATACATACGTGTTGATATTGGGTAGTTACTTGTTCCATATTTTGATAACGCCGGAGTTTTGCTAAATTGATTCCTGTCCATGTAAAAACTAGCACTAAAATTCTTATTCATGGGTTCGAGATGCAGTGCATTAACACGTTAATCAAGTAAAAGTGAATCTAGCGCAGATCAATCACAAGATTTCTCTGAAATGAAAGCAAACAAAAACAAAAAAGGACGGAAACTCTCCTGGGGATGGGTTGCCTGGGCGCATCTCTTCTATCGTATTGGGCCACTAGCATGTAATGATTGGATTCCGATTCCGAAGACCGTATTTTCATACGATGTACAAAGTGTCACGTGTCAACTTTTCCTCTCATCCTGCCAGATTTCTATTTTCCGTTGCTAATTTTCTCGGGCGATTTTCCTGTTGCTATTTTACCATTACAATATAACATTATTCCACCCCTCCCCGTAGTTATCATGTCCCTGCAACATGTCTAATTTCGCTTCTCCGTCCTAAATCGCTTGGATCTTTGCAGAATTTCCCTCATGTTATCCCCTCGCTCCTGCTCATGCTCTGCGTCTTCCTTTCCTGAAGATCATCTCCATCTCTTTGCCCTAAAGATCTGATCTAGGGTTCTAACTTAATCCGTAGCTCTCAATCCGACTATTTCAAGAGCTTTTTTTTTTTTTGAAATATAATCTTGATTGATACACACAATCTCGATTCAGACGCATTGAAATTCAACTGAAAATTAATCCTGGTTTTGGACGGATCTCTATGCCGCTTAGTGGTTGGGTTTGTGATCGCGAATGAGAAAATAGGGATTTGTTTTTATGACCATGGAAGTCGTCGGTGATGTGGCGTCTTTGGACGTTGAGTTGTTGCAGCTCCAAGACGTGTCTGCTTTGGCCGTCAAGTCTAACCTGAATTTTGTTGAAAAGCTCTTCGAGCAGTGGCTGTCGCTTCCTGAGAGCAATCGAGTGGTAGGCTTCATTTGACAATTCTCACTTTTCAAGTCAGAATGTTAAGAGTCTCATAAGCTTGCTTTCTCTGCATTTATCGGAATTTGCTTCATGCTTATCTTCGAAAACAAACCCAATACCTGTATGGATAATTGAGTGGAACAAATTTAATGGTGCCATGGGAAAGAGAGGAATCTCGCATGTTACAAAGCGATGGTTTAGATAACGAAGGTGGAATTTTCTAAGTTGTTTCACTGATGCATGATTTCATCTTTACATTTGAACGCCAAAGGCATTGACAAAAGTAAAGACTGTATCCATTTCAACTTGAACGTACTATCGTGAATGCTTACCTCAAAGTCGTACAGAGGAACCCTCTGTGATCATTGAAGTATATCAAATGTTGGTTAACAACCAGATATGATATACCTTTTTTCGTGTTAATCTTTGGGTTTCTTGATCCTGACATGCTTAGTCTTTCTAGTTTCTCACCTGTTTGTGTGCGTAGGTAACATCATTGTTGAACGACGCAAAGTTAGGTGTTCCCCTCAATGTCCCTGGGAATTGCTCCAGTCCAAATGCTGCAAGCAGTCCTTTGCCGTCCATGTTTCCTGCTGGCACTGCACCTCCTCTTTCACCAAGAAGTTCTGCTGGTTCTCCTCGCATAGTGAAACAGAGAGTTGGTCCTTCTAACTTGAGTTCTCCTTTGAAAGTTGTCAGCGAACCACCTAAAGAATTGATACGTCAGGTATGTCTTCTATCTTTCCTTGGTGACGCTTTTGTGGTTGTGTTTTGGTTTAGTGCCATGTCAACCTTGATAAAATAATGATCTCCATGCTTGCAGTTTTACTTTCAAAATGGGCGTCCGCCACCAAATGAACTGAGGGAACAATTCATGGTTAGGGCGGATCAGTTATTTTATGGTCACTTGGATGGACTGCAGATGCATGGTGAGATATAAACATATATAATGGTGATAGCCTGAAGCCCCCTTTTTTTCATTAGGGATTAAGTGATTTTGAATGTTGTAAAATTTTAGCCTCTTCCAATGGTTACATCTTGAATTTTGGTAAATATTTTGTTTTCCTAAACGTTGGTAATAAAGAAAAAGTAATTATTCAAGTAAGAAGTCACGTTCTAACAGTGTTGGAGTTGTAACAATTACCACTAAGAATGATATTCTTCTCACTTCTCTGGTGTGTCAGAATTCAAATTGGTGACCAGGGAACTCTGCAAGCTGCCATCTTTCTTTTCCTCTCCTCTTTTCAGAAAAATTGATGCCAATGGAACTGGTTTGGTGACAAGGTGTGTACTTTAATCCATCCAGATGTAACTTTTGCATTTTTATTTGTGCCATGGATGGTGCTCCATGGTTTTGGCTGTTTAGTTGTGATCCACGTTGAAATTATAATCAGTGATTGTTGAACAAAAAACAACGGTTTTTATAGATGCAAAACAAGTAGACTCAACGTAATTTTTGATACTTATTTTTTACTGAGAGACATTTTTGGCACCTTCTTTCACTGATGATCAAATTGGAAGTCCGGCTATCTGGTTGGCTTGATCTTGACATCGTGTATTCTCCCCTTCTTTAATTTTTCCCTGCATTATTGGATAATGTTTGAAGGAGTTACATGACATCACTTTGTTATATTACGAAGGCATTGATAATTCTCCATCACATGAAGATTGCCTCTGGTACCTGGCCATATGGGTTCCTCAATGTCATGTATATGCATGTTCACTCACTTACCCGGTCCAAAGCTACATAACGAGGTCCTTCTTGCTAAATAATGTGTTTATAGGGACATAAGCACTGTTATTGTAGCTGAGAAACTGTGACTGAATTGGATCTATCAAATTTGAAAATTCTTGTCAATTGAAATGCCATTTTCTTTAATGAAGATAGCTTTCCCTCTTTATGACAAAGTAACACGTTTTTTAGCTTATTTTCTTGGAAGACATGGGTTCATAAAAACTACCCCTGGTCCATGTAATTCTCCTTTCCAATGGTGAAGGTATCTAAACCTAATGGTGATCCCTCTAATAATTTTTTACACTTACACCCTTTTTACTTGATTTTATGTTTCTAAAGGGATGCATTTGTTGATTACTGGATCAATAACAACATGTTGACGGCAGATATAGCAACTCAAGTATACAAAATTTTAAAGCAGCCAGATCTCAACTACCTCACACAGGTTTGATCATATTGACTTATGGATTATAGTCATATAGATCCTTCTCATTTGAGAACGATGCTCTATTCCATGTTAGGATGATTTCAAACCTGTGCTTCGTGAGCTTTTGGCTACTCATCCAGGGCTGGAGTTCCTGCAGAGTACACCCGAGTTTCAAGAGAGATATGGTTTGTCTGTAGTCCTTACTATAATATTGCAGTTATTGGTTTGTGTAATAAAATATAGATGTTTGCATGTGTGGGATATTATTGACTCCCTCATGAGAGCTTTTAAAGATGTAGTCCCTTTATCTAGATGATAATTTTCATCGTATGCTGTTTGTTCCTGAAACTAGATTGAAAGTTAATTCTGTAATAGATACGAGGAAGCAAACAATGTATATGGGCTCAAAGTCAAGCATAACCTTTTTTCTATGTTGTGCCCTTTGTCCTTCTTTGTGTAAAATGATGGGCTCTTAATAAATCCAATAGCTTATAAATGAGTTGTGGGTTTATATGTGGTGAATGGTGCTTCTGATATCATTTTTCTCTGATGAAAATTATGAAACATGCTCGTTTACAAGTAAAAAATTTTTGGAGACTTTTCCTTGAATCTTGCTCAATTGAAACTAGCCTCATTTTGAAAAGTAATCCCCTTTGTTTCTTACCATGCATGGGTATGATTTTTCATAGCTGCTAGCCTACAATCAGTTCTTACAGGCATTCCTTACAACAAAGAAATTCAGCTCACTTGTTTTTTTTAATCAATTCCTTGCTAACAAATTTAATTATGTAATGAATATCATTTTTATTTTATTTCACTTATCTAAGTTTTTGCACTTTTACTGCTAATTGCAATTATAATACATTATATATATTTGTTGAAAAAGTAGCACTCCAACTGTATGAGTGCAAGGAGAAATAATTTGAAATACCGCACCGGTCAATTTTGATTTTGAACTCTGGACATGGACTGGTGTCTTTTGTTGTGGTTTCTAGTGTGTTTGGGTTGCAACTTCAATGCTTTGTCTTCTTTTCTATGTTGCAGCTGAAACTGTAATATATAGAATATATTACTACACAAATAGATCTGGGAATGGCCATCTTACGCTGAGGGAGCTGAAGCGTGGTAATATAATTGACGCCATGCAGCATGCAGATGAAGAAGAAGACATCAACAAGGTTTTGAGGTACATATACTATGAGAGTTTTGCTGCATTTAACTGCACACAAATCCTTTTCCCTTTTTCACTTGATGACGTTGTACTGCATATTCTCTATAGGTACTTCTCTTATGAGCATTTCTATGTTATATACTGCAAGTTTTGGGAGCTGGATACAGATCATGATTTCTTGATAGACAAGGAGAACCTTATCAGATATGGTAACCACGCGCTTACCTATCGTATTGTCGATAGAATATTTTCTCAGGTTTGTGTAAATTTGATGTTGCTCTTGTCTTGAAACCTAAATGCTGACATCTTGAGGGACAATTCCTACCTGCTATAAAGAAAACAAGTGCGTTTTTTCTGGGTGCTGTTCATTTCTACAATTTATCAATTTTTTCTTAAAAATAGAAAAGAACAATCCTGGCTTGCTTCAATATCATCTCAGGTTCCAAGAAAGTTTACTAGCAAGGTTGAGGGAAAGATGGGATATGAAGATTTTGTTTACTTCATTCTGTCTGAGGAGGATAAATCATCTGAGCCTAGTCTTGAGTATTGGTATTTTTTTCGGTCCTCTTGTTATTTGCTTTACTTGTTGTTATGTGAGATCTCATCAGATTAATGGCTGAACAGTTGCAATTATGAGGATGGTGCATTGTTAGATTAGTCATTTTTTACCTTGCTTTATTTAGTTCAAAAACGCTTCCATGTGCATTTCCATGCATGTGCATGTGTCTCCCGCAGGGGAGTAGGGATAAGGGGATACAAACGACATGATTTATCTATTACTGGAACTTTATCTAAGTGATGTAAAGCACTGTAATAAAGAGAATAGCCCAGGATGACAAAATCTTGGCTTGGAAGGACAGTATACCTCATGCCATTTAGAGCTTAAGTTCGTTACTGTAAGCATTGTGTAATTGAGTTTTTACTTTTAGCAATTGTAGTATCAATGACAATGTTCGTTTCTAGAGAAAGGGAGAGATGACTACTAGCTAGTGGCTGCATGGTTCAGCTAAATACATGAAAGTGGAAAGTGGAACATTCATGTTTTCTGTTCCGGGAAGGTTAACTTGTTTCTGATTTCTTTTGATAGCAGATGTGTTAATTGACTTCAATTGTCATTACTAGGTTCAAGTGCATAGATTTGGATGGGAATGGAGTTCTGACTCGGAACGAACTGCAATTTTTTTATGAGGAGCAACTGCACCGGATGGAGTGCATGGCCCAAGAGCCTGTGTTTTTTGAGGATATATTATGCCAGATTATTGACATGATTGGAACTGAGGTTTTCCTTTCCTTCCTTCTTTTTGTAAGATCTTCCTTTGTTAAGTTTTTGGGAAGTCTAAGAACACCAACAAATTACCTAAATGTGTACAAATCTAGTAAGCAGCTTCATGAGTTGTGTGAAAATTGTATCGCCTAACCCTTTTTTTTTTTCATTTAGTTATCTCCTTTTCCTTGTACTCTTCTTGTTTGATACCATTACTTTTATTGTGGCAATTTTTCTCATTTAAGATTCTTCACACTGCAGAATGAGAGCTATATAACTCTACGTGATCTGAAAGGCAGTAAGCTCTCAGGAAGTGTTTTCAATATCCTGTTTAATCTGAACAAGTTCATGGCCTTTGAAACCCGGGACCCATTTTTGATTCGTCAGGTTTATGAGAGATTTGATTAAAGCAATAAAAATGTTGAGTTAGGTCGCTTGGCCATTGTCAGTGTCTGTTATGATCTTTGTCTTGCCTTGCACAGCAACGTGAGAACCCGACATTGACAGAGTGGGACCGCTTTGCTCATAGAGAATACATCAGGCTTTCCATGGAAGAAGATGTGGAAGATGTCTCTAATGGAAGCGCGGAAGTCTGGGATGAATCACTTGAGGCTCCCTTCTGAGAGTGTGTAAGTGACTTAATTTAAAGCAATGACAGTATATGAGTCTTAGCCAATATTGTGTGGTGTCTCAGAAGTGAAATTTTTGCTAATTTGTTCTTCCTAGATGCATCCAGGAGGGTCAGAAATTAGAGATATTTTCTATGCAATGTTTGAGCATAATTCAGCTTTCTGATACCTTTCTAAGTTTATCTTTATTTGGTCTATTAATAGAGGGGTTGAAAAGAAATGAATGCCCCAGCACTCAAGGAGTGGCCATTTCTAAGAGACGCTGGACTAAGGATCAGCTTGGATCTTGCTAACCCAGCCCAAAGAATGGGAACTCTGAGCTTCATTTTGAAACATGTTATTAGTGGGCAAGCAGCACTGCAGCTATATTTTGATCTTGTGCTGGTAGTGAAAAGCATGAGGCCATTATCACGCAAGTGTTATTGCCTCGTTCCAATGCCCATGCAAGGCTGGTCGATTTTATTGATATTATTGAGTACGCTCGTTGTTTGGGGCATTTAAGTTGTAGCTTGTCTGTAGAAAGATGTTTTTTCCCCCTCCCCTAAATATCAAACGGTTGAAAGTTTTGCTTAGTTCGTTTCCATGGTTTATTGTTCTTGACCGCCATAACTTGAGATTGGAAATGAGGGAAATTAAAAATTAATGCACAGGTCGCTTGAATTAAACTGGGGGGAGACAGTAGTGTTGTTGAAGGCCAATGATTTGGATGGGGGCATTTCGATGCGCAAGTGCTCCCAACAGAATCATTATTCATTTTTCATGTTTGTATTTTTAACAAGCGAGGGCAGGAATCTTCAGATTTAAGCTTCCTGCTGTGGATTAGACTTGAGGTTTTTGTTCAGGTGACGATGGGAATTTGGGGGAGGAGGGGGCCAGTAATTATGCTGAAATTAATTCGGTGACAGACATAACAATCATGATTCTCGCATACGAAAATACTTAATGTATAATTCCATCTTTTTCTCAATGGTTTGTCCTACAATCTGTAACGAGGTTACAAAAATACTCATATCGTTGACGACGTTTAATTATTTAGTTTTGCTATAATAAGTAAGTATGACCCGAAAGGGAAGAGAAAGAGAGACAAGCGCGCACATAAGAAGCAGAGCGGGACATTTATGTGGGCTGGCTGGTGGGCCTAATCCCTTACGATGGAGTGGGAAATTGAGTAGTTTATTGACACCGCATGATATCATGACGCTGGATTTACAGAAGCCACTTTTGCTTGTTTGTTTTCCCTCTTGGCCAAGCAAAGCAATGCGATTCCCCTTTTTTTTTTTTTTTTTTCCTGGTACATGAAACTGAACTGATTTTCACTCAGTTGTGCTCACAGCCACAAATGAAGATGAGTGTTGACCGTTGTGGCAAGACCTATTATAAAACGGCCGCATCGCTAACGAACTAACGGAAGTAGCAGAGCAGTACTTTTTTTGGCCGGGGCTGTCGACCCTAGTTGGACTCGGTCAAGCGGAGTGGCACAGCTGGGGCACTTAATTAAGGGCTGTGAGGAAAGCATTGTCCTTGTCCATTTGTGGTTTTATTTAGAAAAGCATGCAAGTGCGGAAGGAATTGGTGTGGTGGGCCACAAAAGTTGAGGTACCCTGCGTTCATACTACTATTCGATGCTCTTTCACTCCCGTTTTATAAACAACAGCTGTCATCTCCTTTTTTTTTAAATATAAATAATATTTACAAGTGAGTCTTAAAATTTTATAGTACCTTTTTTATTTTATTTTTATTAATTACTTATTTTAATACTCAATATACTTATTATCTCATTTCCTAACTATTATCTCTCCATCACACATTCTTTTTTTTATTTTATAATTCTCTTTATTATAATAATTTTCTTATTCTCTCTTTTATACTCTGTCTCCCGAATAAGAGCATTTCTGAGAAAGAACTTCTAATTTTAATATATTTATTGTTTTTAACAAATTTTAACTAATATTTTGATTTATGTGATGAACGGAATGTTGCTTATAAAAAAACACGGAGGGAATACTACAAATATCCGCATCACTTTCATCTTTACTTCCAGCTCTTCAGTTGGAACCCCTCCCCACACAAAGGCGGATTAAGCATATCTGCCACTTGTGCCTCCTTCAATTGTCGCTAAGTTATTATAAGGTTTATAAGTTTAAAGACTTCTGGTTCCTGACAAGTTAACAGTTATTTGAAATAATTTATAAGTAGTTTTTCAAACGTGATTTACGAAATACGAGATAAGTATATGAAAAAAATTTCATCTCGATTTGTGTGAAAATACTTATAAGCACTTTGTAACGTTGATCCAAACAAGCTCTTAGTCTTTTGTAACTTGACTCTCCTTTTAGATTTAACTCCACATCCCGATACTTCACTTAGAGCATGTTTGGATTAACTTATAAGTAACTTTACAAACATAATTTACAGAATATAAGATAAGTATGTGAGAAGAATTTTATTTCGACTTATGTGAATTTGCTTAAAAGTACTTTTTAAACGGAGCTCCAAACAAACTCTTAACAAGCTATTGTCAAAAAACAATACATATATATACACACATGTGAATAAAAGTTACTACTACTTCTTATCTTAATTATTCTATACTCTATAAACGAGATTTTATAATTAGTTTCACGAATTTAAATAAAATCCATGTCACGTGTTCTATGCTGATCATTAATCCAAAAGGATTGAAAATATTTAAATCAGAGCGTCCGTCGTTATCTCGCGCAGAAGAAGTTCGCGAATGATTGTCATGGAGCTTATTTTCATCACACAGTGGGTTGTGCCTAACTCTCTTTATACTCGATCATATATTACTTCCAGTCTTAATATAAGTTCTAATTGATAATTTGAGTACATTAAAAAACTAGTTAGATTATTTATTTTTAATATCATTTTTCTTAAAATATCATTACTAATCATGTAAAACTATTATTATTACAAAAATTACACTGGAAATAAATAGATAAATATGAGGCACAAAATGAATTGATGTCTTATACTTATATTTAGAATTAAAATAAAAATCAAACAAATTCTTATATTAAGAATTGAAAGTAATATATTCGACAGGGAATAAAGCCCAAGCCAATTACTCTAAGCCAGTAACATGACCAAGGATCCTCTTATCAGCGCAGAATTTTGGAATCACTCTGCTTGGATTTTCTCGGCATATCCTGAGAATTACGCCTTTTTATATTCTATTATTATTATTATTATTGCTGCTGCTATATGTGGCTGTGGCGAGGATGTTTAATTAAAAATCATTCATGAATACTGCGTAAAATACTCTGTTTTAAAAAAATCAATAATTGCAGTATTAAATATAATTAATAAGTTGTTAGTTGATATGTTAAGCATTTTCATTTGGTTAAAAGGAGAATACATATTTGAATCTCAAGAAATATATTTATTAGAAGGGCTTTTAATCTTAACACTCCTAATTTGATAGTGATTGGTCCCAAACTCAAAATAATTTGAAGGTATTCTCAATTATATGGACAAAATATAAATATAGTAATACAGTATTTCTTTTCTTTTTTCCCCCCCAACGATACAGCATATATTATGCGCAACAGTATTATACGAAGATTATAGTTCGCCGATTTTTTCTCAGAGGGGGTGGGACCGCGGAAGTATCCCGGAAAAGAATATTCGCGTATAGTACTAATAATGATATAAAAAATAGGGAGCATGACATGTAATTACCATCTAAATACGCAAATCTCAAACTTACCCCACATTATTTCTACCTGTAAGGATGATTCGAAATGGTTTACAGGCGGCTCCAGAAAATTCAGGAGATAATGTTTAAATTTTGGTGGTACTTGTATGTTATTTTCCCAAAAAAAAACCACTTATTGGGGAAAAAAAACAATAAACCCAAAACACCAAAACACAAGCAGCACGCACCAAGGACGGGAGAGGTAGAAGAAGCTAACAGCCTAACAGAACGTCTCTCATAGCAGAGAGATGGAGGAGATCCTTCGCAACAACCACTACCAACTGTGCGATGAGATCGGACGTGGCCGATTCGGCACCATCTTCCGCTGCATTCACCTCCTCTCCGATCGATTCTTTGCCTGCAAACTCATCGACAAGCGCCTCCTCTCCGATCCCACCGATCGCTCTTGTCTCCACAACGAACCCAAGTACATGTCTCTCCTCTCTCCTCACCCCAACATTCTTCAGATCTTCCACGTCTTCCACCACGATCACTTTCTCTCCATCGTCCTTGAGCTCTGCCACCCCCACACCCTCCTCGACCGCATCGTTGCTCGCCCCTTCCCTGAGGCCGAAGCCGCTTCTATCATGAAGCAACTGCTCGAAGCCCTCGCCCACTGCCACCGTCTTGGCATAGCGCACAGAGACATCAAGCCCGACAATCTCTTGTTTGATTCTGGTAATAATCTCAAGGTTGCCGACTTTGGGTCCGCACAGTGGTTCGGCGACGGTAGAAGCATGAGTGGAGTGGTCGGGACGCCTTACTATGTGGCGCCGGAGGTATTAATGGGGAGAGAATACAATGAGAAAGTAGATGTGTGGAGCAGCGGCGTGATTTTGTACATAATGTTGGCCGGATTTCCTCCTTTCCACGGGGAGTCGGCCGCCGATATCTTTGAGGCCGTGGTCAGGGCCAATCTGAGGTTCCCTTCCAGGACTTTCGGGTCCGTCTCTCCTGCTGCCAAGGATCTACTCAGGAAGATGATCTGTAGGGATGTTTCAAGGAGATTATCGGCAGAGCAAGCCTTGGGTACGTTTCCGGCTCTCTTATTTCTTTCTCTCGTTTTCTTTTTCCATTCAGAATTTCTTTTCAATTCAAGGACTTTCTCATTATCTAAGAATCAGCAGCACAATTTGTAAGAAGGAAATTAAGGGGGAATAAGATTTTGGGTCAATCTGAATCCTGACAAGTGGATTGGCACTATGTGTAATTTTACAGGGCATCCGTGGATCCAGAGCGGAGGGGAGAAAACGGATCTGACGTGAAAAAACAGAGGGCGACTGGGAGTTTATCCGAGCGTGAGTTCAATTTTGGCGCCTGTATATAAGTTTTTCTGTCGCCGCAACGAAAATCGTTTATTTTCCTTTTTCTGATGCTGCTGATATATGAACATGATGGCTGACCACCGATAATCGTCTTCCTCCACCGTCTTGATCCTTTTCTTTCCTTTTCTGGGTTTTCGCATGGTGATAGGAAGTGGGGAAGTATGATATAATCCGAGTAGCCATCTAGCGTTCGTTCGCTCGTTTGTTTTAGGTGAGTGAGAATGAAAAGTGCTTGTAATGTAAACTAGTAAAAGAGTGCTGATATCTGGAGTGATTCTGAAGTGCATGTTTTCAATTTCTGGGTCAAGTAAGGTGGGATTCAGTTTAAGAGAATCGATCATGGTGTAAACCAAATGCAGTAATGAGAGAACAAGAAGGCTGTGCAGCTCAAAAAAACGAACTCTTGATCACAAAAATATTCCAAGGTTTTTTTTTTTTTTTTTGCCATTCACAAACATATTCCAAGGTTGCGAACAGAGTAGTGAAACAAACTGAGGTCCAATGGAGAGGGGACACTTTGTACTTTGTAGGCCCCCGCGCTGTGGTCGTTCATGTGATAGGCACGTGTGCGTATCAGGGGGGGCCCACTTCACTGACGAGTTAATAAAATTCTAAAATTCTATGTGTCACGGTTTGATAGGTTATCTTAACTTGATCAATCATCCCATGCCCACGTCACGTGACTCTCTTTCGGCCCCCGGACGACTGGAGCAGTTGGATTTGAATTTTAGCCACCCAAACTAAAAATTATGTTTTTCATAAGTCAAGGGAAAAATTTTTATATTAAATGTAAGTCATTTATAATAAATTTAATAATTTTTTTAATTTTATTATTATTTAATTTTTATTAAAAAGAGAAAAACAAAGAGATATATACAAATAATTTATAAAAAAGGTAGATTTGAAAAGAGATGCAAATTCAATGCATTTCTTATTATGCAATAATATATTACAAGTAATTTATATTAAATACCAGTTAAAATGGATGCACGGTATTTAGATTTAAATCAAACAATAATTTTAAAAATAATTTTACATTATACAAAGTAAATATATAAAAAAATTTATCTTAATTTACAAAAAAAATATTTTTTAAAAACACTTCCTTTAAAACTCAAATTCTGATTCCTTTAGAATAAGTATACATCTAGTTTGGTATATGCAATTCAAACAATGGGTTAACCACTTAACCTTGTGCAGCTGGCAAGATTCTGTGGACTGCTTAGATTCTAACTTGAGCAGCAATAGCAATAATTGTATCAGACGCTCTTATTCTAATCTAAACCAACCACATGTCCCAACTTCCAACGACCTGGCCCCATCTGTGTCCTCACTTCCAAAATTGCCCCTGTCGCTTATCCGGTCATTATGATGATGACGATGATTACTCACAATCCAATCATCTCTCACCTTATTCCGTCATTGCTTGTCTGAGAGTCCGCCCTTTTTTTAAAAATTTTTTTCCAATAATGATTGATTTTTTTTTGCCAAATATTTTCATGATTTCTAAGTTGTGGTTCTTTCTGCAAATTTATAGAAAATTGTGTTACTTTCTAAATGAGTTAAGATAAAAATTTAGAAATTGTTCATCATCTTCGCAAAACAATCCTGTCTAACCAGCCGCTGGTTTCGGATATATCCTATGCTCAGTTTCACTGCTTTCCAATTTTACATTTCAGATAAAAATCACTTTTTCAATAGAATATTTACGAAAATAACATTGAACTATTTTAAGTACTATAAAATCGGTCCATGTTATATGAAAATTAATAATACCTCCCATCAGACAGAAGTTTTGTGCCACACAGGGCCCTAAGAACCGTGTCGTTAAGCGTATGGAAAGGATAACATAATAGTTTCCATATTTCAATTTATAAATTACTTCCACAATCTTAAATATAAAACTCATTTTATAATATAATTTTATTCCCAAAATTCCGTTTTACCATGCAATCCCGAAAAAAGGCGTACGCAATTTTCGCATGTATTTATCGTTGTACAAACCTCCATTGATGGTTTTTCAAAACTGTCCAGAAATATTTAGCAATATAATTATGACAGACCACCAGCCGATGGATTTAGACCCCCCAATGTGATGGATTTTTAATCATCTCACGAGACCCCCAACCAACCCAAAACGTGGATAAACCATTATTTCTTTCAAAAGAAAAAAAACGTTTTTTTTTTCAAATTTGGGGGGGTGGTTGACAAAAAAGGGAACAGACTATAAACAGAGAATTCTCCCAGAGCCCGCTTTGGCAGCAGGTGAACATGCCCAAAATATGATAAAATGTATGAGAAATGTATTAAACGGTTCTCAGCGACATAAGCCGATGCATCCATCTGCACTTGAGAAGCTCATGCTTCAGACCAACGTAAACCAAGCACTAGTGTACAAGGAAGACCCCGGGGGGAGGTTACGGCTTTTCATCTTGGAAAAACCAGCTTCGTACCAGCAAAAAGACAATGGTTTGCATTAGTTCACGATGGTATTATGCCATTTTACAACTTCAGCAAATCATAGCAGATTAGATGGAAGTCAAGTGCTTCAACACATCACAATAGAGGACATGGAACTCAAGCTTCTTGTTCTTGCCAGTACTCCGCTCAGGACCACTCTCGTCTGTTAGAAGCAACACCTCTTTCCCCCAAAAATTCAACTCAAACTTTTGTACCCAGGAAGGACTGCAAATCACAATGGGAGAAAGAAGTCAGAGGAGGTTGATGAATCAACCAAATTGTTAACGTGAGGAATTGAAAACACGAATGATAGCTGATGCGGTATGAGTTGAATTATGTAATAAATCACGAAGGCACTCTCTTGTATTCATCAAGTGGGCTTTAAACCAGAAATAAATCACAAATTGGGAAATGTAAAACTTAGCAGCACAAATTGTAACAACAGACGCTACAGTCACTTATAACAGCAATGTAGAGTCGTAAATCATATCTCCAACTGGTAGCATGACATTCGTATCTATGCATATTGAGTATGTACCCATTACATAAGCAAATAACCTGACTTTTTACCTTTATACCTGCTGGAGAATTTCCAGCCTTCGCAGTTGTTGTACTACTTCCAAAATTGATCTTTGGTTTTTTATCTGCTGGCTTTAATATTTGGAAAGAGCACATTAGCGTCTCATCAACACTCATCATAGCACCAGCATTGTCAAACTCTCCACAATAATTTGGTGCTGAAAATATTGTTACTAGCTGTCGATCAGCAAAGAACTCATAACCATCCTCCACAACCTGCTAGCCGCGTATAGGAAAACAAAACAACTAAATTTTAGTTATAGCCTAACATCTCCAATGTGAACACAAAACATTGTATAGCATGAATCCCCTATGCCGATGCTGACAGATGGCATTTAAAATAACGGCTCATTGCAATAAACTCCTTCACTTGCATGATGCAAACAGCAATTTCGAATTCAGTACCATGAAAAAATTAGTATATGTTCACTGCAGGAAATGTATCTCATAATCCTTTACTTGTAGGAATAGGGGGATGTAAAATTAAATGCTGAGGAATTGGCAACACACTGAAAAGCAAAAGGGGCTGGAATTTAACCTGATGAGCACGACAAATAAGATCCAGATCTTGTTTCTGAAGAAATTCCGAGACCTTATCAGCACCAAATGTATATGAAACTCCCCTGTCATTCATTCCCCAACCTTGAACATCTTTGCTTGGGTCTGACCAAAGAAGATCACAAAGCAAACCTGTATCTGGTACATCAGTTGGACGCTGGAGAGTTCTGATCTGATCCAAATTATGCAAGTCAGGAGAAAGTCCCCCATGCATGCACAGAATCTTTTCATCAATAAGGGCCGCCACAGGAAGGCAATTGAAGCACTCAGTAAATGTCTTCCATAACCTTACATTGAACCTTCTCTTACATTCATCATAAAATCCATATATACGGTTTATAGAAGCACATTCATGGTTTCCCCTCAACAGGAAAAAGTTCTCAGGATATTTTATTTTATAAGCAAGGAGAAGGCATATTGTTTCCAAACTCTGCTTCCCTCGGTCCACGTAATCCCCTAAAAATAAATAGTTGGCATGCGGAGGTAATCCACCATACTCAAAGAGACGTAAAAGATCAGAATATTGACCATGTACATCGCCTGAAACATAAATATCAGGAAGTTCAGTGATCATTACACAAACAATTTTTTTTGTAAACAGTAAAACAGGGCTTAAGTTGAAAAAAATAGAACATAATACATCATCACCAACAATTTCTTCCCCGACTGATAACAGGGTTAACTAGTTGAGCATGGACTGGAGCACGTATAAAGCTATATGAACAGACAAGCTCAGCTCAGCAAAATGTCGGACTTGCATATGATGAGGAAATCTAAATAGCAGATATAGCATCGTTGACACAGGAACATTGGTAATGGTAATAGAGCTTGATACAGTAAAAGAAAGGATTTTGATATATCATCCTTCAAACAAGGTTCTCATTACTATGTAAGTATAATATTGTGAATAGGACTGCTGCCATAAGAACACAGGATAGAGCTTCTTCTAGACAAACTTAAGTCTCCATCAGAGACACTTCAAACTACTAGGAAATTCCAAACATTCCAGGTCACTGAAAAAACTTTATCACATACTAAAATTTGCAGAATCTTATATTAGAAAGCCTATTTTCTATTATAATTCAGCTGGAAACTCAAGAACTTCAACCATAGGCCCAATCTTAACATAAAAAAAGTGACGGGAACTGAACCTTCAGGATCAAGTGATAGATGCCCAAATTGCTATCGAGTATTGGGACTGTAAGACAGCAAGACAAGACTTTCTAGATTAGGATGACATGTCAACAGTGACAAAGTAAGTCACACGGGTAAGAGACTCGTCTTTACAATCACCTTAAATCTTAAAATGTTTAAATCTTCAAATAGGATATTATATTCTGCATGTATCATGCATTTTGCCACTAAGTAAATAGGCAGGAACGATTTCCATCATCATACTTGTTAGGATTCAGTGCCCTCGCATTAGTGACCAAGATTCAATAACTTCATAGCTCCACTTAGTTAATATTATTTCGTCCAAAGAGAAACTGAGGTTCAGTTTATGGCATTTGGTAGATCAAAAGAGAGCAAAAAACTTGTTACTTTATATACAGGAAACTTCCTCGGCTGCCTTACACTTGGCATTTAAATTGCATCAACTCAAACTATCACATAGATTTCAATTTCAGACTAGACAGGTTTTGTCCCAGTAATTTGCTTCAAGCCCCAATCCTTTTTGGTCTAATGTGTCAACTTACTCTAATTTCTAATAAGGCGCTTCTTAGAAATCATCTGACAATTTAAAATTCTATTTTGAGCTCGCAGCTTCTATATTGGAGCACTACACCAGCAAGAAGCATGGCCTATAAAATCTTCTGCTATCCTTCTTTCGCAAACGCAAGTATTTCAATCAATGATGAATTGACATATCAAAGAATGATACTATATTCCATAATCCCTTTAAGGGATGGGTGGAGAAAAGCCTTCAAATGAATCAGCCCCACTAGTTATTGATGCTGCAGTCTAGGTATATTGTTTACTATTGACTAGGAGAAGTACGAACGCTTAGAACCTAGAAGCACATACTGGAGATAAAGGCCAAGAAGATGTCAACGTATTAATTTAAAGGACAAGCAGCAGGATCATATGCCAAGCCCAAAAACCAAAATACTCCGCTTAAGAGTTTGACTAAGAAATATGCTGTGTTCTATTACAGATCTTCTGATGGACGAAGGCAGAATATAAGGGCCTAGCGTAGGAGTTGAAGAAGCAGAATATAAAGGGCAGAGTAAAGAGATGAAAAAGAAACGAAAGATACCACAGATCTTGATGGGTGCTTCAAGCTCCAATAAATTAGGCTGTTGCAAGAAAATATCCCTGGAAGCAACGCAAAGCTGGCGGATCTCGGACTCGGACAACTGAACCTGTTTGCCCGGCCGACCGCGGACTTCAAGGAGACGATTGATTATGTCATCGAGAACTGATTGGTCCATTGCTTAAAGGGAGCTGCTTCTCCGATGGATGGATAGGGACTACGAGGATGAAGAGAAGTCGTGGTAGGGCGGCGGCCGCGGTGGCGAAAGGGTATAGAAGTCGTTTTGTCAATGCAGACGCTTCCACAAGAGGAAGGGTTTCGCTTCAGGATGGGCCGGCCGCGGAGTGTGCCCAGCCGTCTGAATCTACCAAAGCCATGTCTTCAAGTCTAATCTATTTTCATCTTTTCTTCTTCGTCTTCATCTTTCCTATATTTGTTCAGAATATTAATCTTTTTTTTTTCTTTTCAACATATCAAAATTGAAGACTCTAAATTTATTACACGATTAATCGAATTTATAAAATGATTTATTAACTAAATTTTCCTCAACCATCGTAACAAAAAAATGTAAGCGGGGATCAATTGAATTTTAAAAAACAAGAAGAGTAATAAAAATACATATATATTTAAAGTATTGAGATAATGCCTCTTTGATAAACGGGTTAAAAATTTAAAGACACAGATTTTTTTTTAAAAAAAATTGCAATACAGACTAGTTTTAAAAAAATTCTAAGAAAACACAATATTTAGATAGTTACTCTAATTTAAATTGACAATAATTATTAAGATTGAATCAGTGAGCGATGAAGGTGCCAAATATTTAAGGCGCCTGATGTAATTTTCATGACCGAGTTAATTAATCTTATAGAGATATTTAATTTCATAAAAAATTATTCAAATTTTGAATTGGGAGAGGGGGACCATCTGGTTGCCTTCGTGTATAATATAAGTAGAACAATGCTGAATGTTTTTGTCCTGACCACCCACGGGGGCTGGGGCCTTTTGGGGGGGGGGGGGTTATGCCTTGAAGAACACTCATAAAAAGTAAAGGAGTTGCCGAGAGCACTTAATGATGTTTTAGGGATTATTACAATGAAGGAACTGGAGACATGTTTTGTAGAATGATAAAGAAGGGGAAGCTTGGATTAAAATCCAAAATAAGTGGCGGAGATTCGCACATTAGTTTATGAACTAATTAAATAGCTTTTATGTCTCATGCCTTGTGTTCATAAATAAATACAAAAGCACCGGAATTCATATCTCGTTTCAGTCCAAGAGTGCGTATATGAGCGGGCAAAGAGGCAACGCAATCCCTGAGCCGTGTTGGAGGGGTAAATTTGAGATATCGGAAGGGGAGGATTGATAAATCGCTTGGAGGCCGCCAATGTGATGAAGGGCCTACGGCCTACCTGGTTGGAAGGAAGGGAGGGCTCATTCGGCCCCAAAACAAACAAGCCTGCATGATTTTCAATTTATTTGATTTTGTAATTCAACCGAAACAAATCAATCGGCACTCACCCCCATGCTATAATGCAATCTATCTAATATCTATTCTGCCATTTTTATCGTGACATTTGCAATATACCCTTTTTTCTATTTGGTCTCTGGCATGAGTACGCCCCTCTTATCCCTTCTCTCATCCGAGATGGCTTTTCCATCCCTTCCATTGAAGAGGCCACCGGCATTACTGGGGTCGAGCAGAATCGCCTTGTCGTTGCAGCCCAGGTGCGCGATTCTCTTGTTCAATCTAACGCCGAACCTGAAATTCTTTCCGCTTTTGACACCGGCGGATCCGAATTGCTCTACGAAATCCGGCTTCTCAGTGCATCGCAACGCGTCGCAGCTGCCCGTTACATTGTCATGAACAACCTTGACGGTCAGGGGGCTCAAGATCTAGCCCGCGCAATGAAGATTTCCCTCGCAGGCGCGTGACAAGGGATGGGCAAGCTTCGATTACAATATTCCGGGTGACTGCCTGTCTTTCATGTATTACCGGCAGAGCAGGGAACATAGGAACCCATCGGAGCAGAGAACTGCTGCTTTAGAGCAGGCGCTGAGCGTTGCCGAAACCGAAAAGGCAAAAAGTGAAATTTTAGAGGAATTGAAAGGAAAGGCGGGCGAAAAGGAAGAAGTAGAGGAGCAAATTGAAATAGGGGTCCGGGTGCCGGTGGTGAGGTTGAAGATGGGGGAGGTAGCAGAGGCTAGTTCGGTGGCTGTTGTGCCAGTTTGTAGGGCGGAGGAGAGAGCGGAGCTTACGGAAGCACCGGTGGAGTGCACAAGTGAAGGCGTGTTTGGCGTGGTGGTGGCAGAGAAGGGATGGAAGAGATGGGTGGTGCTGCCCGGATGGGAGCCTGTGTTGGCTTTGGGAAAAGGAGGTGTGGCGGTATCGTTTGCGGATGCAAGGGTGTTGCCGTGGAAGGTGAATAGGTGGTATAAGGAGGAGCCCATATTGGTGGTGGTTGACAGGAGTCGGAAGGAAGTGGCTGCCGGTAATGGATTCTATTTAGCGGCGGTTGATGATGGCGGCGACGGTGCTGAGGGCTTAAAGGTGGAGAGAGGGTCTACGTTGAAGAGCTTGGGTGTGGACCATACTTTAGGAACTGTGGTAGTGGTAGTTAGGCCTCCTAGAGAAGAGAACGATGATCAACTAAGTGATGAAGACTGGGAATGAAAGGATAGGAACCGGGCAACCGTCTGTTCAAATTTTGTTTCATACATCACTCCTTGAAATTCTGTCTAAACAGTCCGGAGACTCAGTTCTGAGTTTCTCATGTTCCAAATTCTGTGTTTTGTTGTAATTTCTGATTTCTTAGGTCTGTTGGAAATAGAATAATATAGCACGGGACTTTTAAATTCTTCTCCTTTATTTCGATCAATTCATTATTGTATTCTCTTTATGATGCTGGGAATGTAAAAGCTCTCGCTTTCGTTTATGCAAATGCGAATGAGGGTAAAGATCCGAAACTTTATGCAGCTCAAAGGCGGAAAGATAAATTCCTGAACGAGCATGGCATCTTCGTTAGGGCCACCGTCACCCTCCTCATAAAACGAGCTTGCATCTGGACATCCTTGAGAGCAATTGCTCACAGTTCAGCGGCGTGAAAGAAAACCCGCGGATGACCAGCCTCAAATCATTCCTCACAGCGCCCCCACAGGACCCATCCTCGTCACTTCACTAATATTCAAGCACCATTGTCCTGCACTCACCATGACAGTACTATAATAGCTATCTTCAATGCATTGATGAAAGCTTTTCCTGTGTGGGCGCGCGCGCGTGTAGCTGATGATGTAATAGTTATCTCCTTCACTAGTGATTTTTGATGATGAAATCAGCATATGCGGATAATCTGTTGGTCAACAAGTTATTCCACTGCATAATAAAGCGCTACGTTTATCAGACAGCTAAAGTCCCAAGCAGCTACACTAGAAAAGGCAATCGATAAATGAAGACACCAGGCACAAGAACCGCCCCTATCGTTTGGTTATGATAGTAACTTATTACATCTTGTTACAATGAATCAAACATCCAATATCAGGTGTCTGCTATCTGACCACAATCTTCAATCACAACTGGTTCTGAGGTCCTCCCACTCTGTGAACCCACTGTCTCCATTTCCTTAACCACACCGTAGCCATCAACAACTTTTCCAAACACAACATGCTTTCCATCAAGCCATTCGGTCTTCGTAGTGCATATAAAGAACTGAGAACCATTTGTACTGGGACCAGCATTTGCCATTGAGAGAACACCAGGCCCCGTATGCTTCAGCTTGAAATTCTCGTCAGCAAATTTTGAGCCATAAATTGACTCCCCTCCGGTTCCATTTCCTCTAGTGAAATCTCCTCCCTGACACATGAACTGTGGAATAATTCGGTGAAATGTGGACCCTTTGTAGTGTAAAGGCTTCCCGGATGTGCCGATCCCCTTTTCACCCGTGCAGAGAGCTCGGAAGTTCTCCGCTGTCTTTGGGGTGACATCTGCAAATAACTCCATCACTATTCGACCTGCTTTCATCTTTCCAATTACAATGTCAAAGAACACCTTTGGATTTGACATTTTAATGATCACAATGGGCCTGATAACACCAAAAATTTCCCAAACAGCTAGTTAATATTATGTGATTCTTGAGAAAAAATTAGTCGCACAGATTACTATTATTGTTATAAAATAAAGAAATTAAACCAGAATTTACTAAAATAGAGCTTTTTTTGTTTAAACAAAGAAACATGGGGAAGACACACACACAGAGAGGGTACTAAGGATGAATGTTGTTTGACGCACTGCAAGTTAGAAGTTTCCTACATATTGGGAAACACCAATGACGGTGCGGCAACAGTTGATATAGCTTATGTTAATGTTATGTGCTGACGGAAGAACTAATCAGCACAAGACCGTTCATAAGCACGGTGGGTTTAAAACCACAAGCATTCCCCAGACATCAAAACACGAACAAGCCGAGATATGGCTATGCAATTGCGAGCACTAAGGAAGTTATAACTGTTTTGTACAAGAGGGTGCGTATGGAAATTTGCTTCAGGAGGATAAGACCAGTATCCAAATGGAAATTGCTCAAGAGCGCAAAACAGATTCCTTCAAAAAGACAAATAGAGCTACAAAATACGAAGCTAGGAACCTCGCGCTAAATTTAGATGCAAGGGTATGTTAGAAAAATGTTCATCATCCACCATAGAACCCTCAAGCCTAAGGGACGTGCAGGCACAAGAGGATCATATATAGGGGACGACTCATGATATTGCACAAGTTTTGAGCTCACAGGCTTCGAACGAGAGAGCGCTTGCAAGCCTTCGATATGTGCAGTACAACGCAGGATACGATAAAAAATTGATGATATTAAATATCAGAAGGGCTCACTGATCAGTACAAGAGGAAGACTCGTAAAGACAAATTCAAAGTGAGGGTAAAATGAGGATGATGAAGCAAGCACCTGCACCAGAGAGGCGATCAGCGTTGGAGGGCGAAGGGTGGACGCACAGCTGAACCGGACAATAGGATTTTATAGTGAGGCGCCGTCTTCAGGGTTTAGGGTTTTACTTGGCAAAGGTATTTCTTCTCCCTGGGCTTAGCCCATTACATTTGACCTCCACGTTTCACCGCCCCCTCGAATTCCTTTTTTTTTTTTTTGGGGGGGGGGGGGTACGCGAAACAATCGTTCTTTGAGGTAATATTGCGTATTTTTTTTAAATACAAGGTAATGTTACGTGTGTGTGAAAAACGAGTTTATAAATAATTTTTTAAAAACATTGAATAAGAATATTTTGGCAGGAAAAATAATGTAACCTTTTAACGCTTATTATTGAATTTCTTGATTACATTTTCTACTTCTTTGCTTCTCAATTTTTAAGTGACTCAAAGTAAACTTAAAGGGTTCAAATCTGCTTTTTGTCAACATATGGCGGCACAATTGGAATGTTAAATTTTTACAGGAAAACAAATTTAAATAATTTTAGTTTAGTTTATGGATGATCTCGTCCCGGTGTTTCAGGGTTTTTTTCCTTTCTAATTTTTTGGCCTTCTGAACAGGGGTGTTGCACAGCGAACAAGTTCAAAATGAAATAGACGATAGTTAAAAGAGGGCAACCGTCTTGCCATGAGAGAAAAATCTTGTTCTCGGCCCCATCACATCGGCATGTGAATACACGCATTTAACATACTGAACTAACATGACAGAAACTTGATACAACATGTATATTTGGCAGATTAGTTCCCTCTTTCGGGAATCATACCCACAGAAGAATGATCAGCCAAGCCATTGTTGAGCACGACGATCTCCACTGCCTCCAACAGAATGCCGAATGCTAATCTTCTCACCCGCATATTTTTGTTGAAGCCACTCAAAAGCATTTACATCATCAGTTTTCCGCTCACTGACTTCCCTTGCTTCCTGCGAGTTTGTTGCTCCCGTAGACGCCCAAAGTTTCTCAATCGCATGCCTCTGCTCAGCCGTAAATCTCCCCACATTATCAAAGGCATGCTTTACCAATATATCAATTACTGTTTGGCACCTGCGAATGTCACAGTTCTAGCATGTTGGGAACAATATCTCAATTATAAAGCATAAGTCTCCCCAAAAAAAACAAAAACAACTAGCAGCAGATTCTACCATGGAGTTTTATAACGTCCAGCAGCAATCTCTAGACATGTTATCAAGGCTTCTCTTTGTGATTTCATGAATCTCTTCGTATCTTCCTCATCCTCTCCCTTCCTCGTCTTCACTGCAGCTCCATTCTTCTTTTCACTTTTCTTTGTTGAACCAGGAATCAAAGCATCAAGTCCAAATGGGTCGGCCTCCTCCTCCTCATTATCTTCGGCTCTACAAATCGAGGACGTGTCCTGCTTTATTTTGTCACTTTCATCTACCTTACGTTGCTATGTTTCAGGGACGCTTCTTCGTCAACATCATCATCTTCCTCTGTCGCAACAGGAACGTTAGATATAGCTTCCTTGATTCGACCAGCTGCTTTGGAGAACTGAGAAAATTTTACAGGAAAAAATATGATTAATCATAATGCATCAAAATATCCGTGGTAAACATGTAGAACTAGAGGTGATTGAGCAAGGGTTAAACACATGACAAATTAACCATTGCCAGACAACTTTACAGTGAGAATCTCCATCAAGACATTCAAAGGCATAGCAGAGTGCCAAGTCCATGGAACTGTCAAAGGTCAGACACTCAGAATTATATCACCACCGAGAAATGTAGCAGTAAAGCCAAATCTTGACCTCTTTTTTTTTTTCCTAATAAATAAAATAAAATGATTCGCCATAGAATCTCCAATAATCAAGGGGTAAAACGTGTGCACCCCAAATTGTACGTGCCATAGGAAAAGGCAGATGTGAACATGGCGGATAGCTATCTTGGCCACTCAAAAATTCACCCAACATCTAATTCAGTTGGGCTCTGAAGGAAGCCCGCTCCCCCCCCCCCCCAAAAAAAAAAGAAACACTTTAATTTCTCCTTGATTTAATAAATTCACATAGAAGGAAGACTCAAATATAGAGAAAAGCAGCGGCAAGTTAAACATAGGTACATCAACAACAGCAAACGAAGTTTGTAACTGAAACAGCATTATATGCCAAACCTAATGCATATCATTCCAATATATCTCCGACTGTCTTGAATAGAAGGAAAATTACACTGACTGTAAACAAATTTTAAATAAAACAGTAAGGAACATACCACAAAGCTGTCATCTGTATATAAATCATTTGCCACCACAGCACTGATGGTCCATGCTGTCAGTTGATTCTTTTGCTTCTTATTGAGGTGCTACATTTAAAGAGTGGGAAGGTTAAAAAATCCTCAAAGAATTTCCTCCAATCAATAAAAGATGAAACTGAATATCAATATGAACAGAATTTAAGCCTTACAAGTCAACATCATCTTCCTCTGTCGCAACAGGAAACTTTTAGATATAGCTTCCTTGATTCGACCAGCTGCTTTGGCGACCTGTGAAATTTTACAGGAAAAAATATGATTAATCATAATGCATCAAAATAACACTCGTGTAAACATGTAGAACTAGAGGTGATTGAGCAAGGGTTAAACACATGACAAATTAACCATTGCCAGACAACTTTACAGTGAGAATCCATCAAGACATTCAAAGGCATAGCAGAGTGCCAAGTCCTGGAACTGTCAAAGGTCAGACACTCAGATTATATCACCACCGAGAAATGTAGCAGTAAAGCCAAATCTTGACCTCTTTTTTTTTTTCCTAATAAATAAAATAAAATGATTCGCCATAGAATCTCCAATAATCAAGGGGTAAAACGTGTGCACCCCAAATTGTACGTGCCATAGGAAAGGCAGATGTGAACATGGCGGATAGCTATCTTGGCCACTCAAAAATTCACCCAACATCTAATTCAGTTGGGCTCTGAAGGAAGCCCGCTCCCCCCCCCCCCAAAAAAAAAGAAACACTTTAATTTCTCCTTGATTTAATAAATTCACATAGAAGGAAGACTCAAATATAGAGAAAAGCAGCGGCAAGTTAAACATAGGTACATCAACAACAGCAAACGAAGTTTGTAACTGAAACAGCATTATATGCCAAACCTAATGCATATCATTCCAATATATCTCCGACTGTCTTGAATAGAAGGAAAATTACACTGACTGTAAACAAATTTTAAATAAAACAGTAAGGAACATACCACAAAGCTGTCATCTGTATATAAATCATTTGCCACCACAGCACTGATGGTCCATGCTGTCAGTTGATTCTTTTGCTTCTTATTGAGGTGCTACATTTAAAGAGTGGGGAAGGTTAAAAAATCCTCAAAGAATTTCCTCCAATCAATAAAAGATGAAACTGAATATCAATATGAACAGAATTTAAGCCTTACAACCCAAGAAAAAAACCTTACTTCAGTGGCATCCTGAGCTGCTGAGAACAGAGCATGATAATCTGCCCGCACTGCAGGATCTGTACAAGGTATGGGTGATGACATTGCAGCTTCTAATACAGAAAAAAAATAATCACGAGTTCCAGACTTTACACTTCCTGCCTGGATTAGCTGTATTGCAAGCTTTGAAGCCTTGCTGAACTTTGCAGGGGTCTTGATATGTGAGGATATCTTCTTCATGGCTTCAATAACTTGTGTTTCAGAAGCATCGGTTGTTGTTTTAAACTTTAAGCTTTTCTTAGGTGCTGCGGCTGAAATAAGAAAAAAAATTTTAAGTTCACAAGAGAACAAAATCCAGCAAAGTTCTGCCGTAAATAGACACGCAGAACAATCACTCTCCAGTCCCCACCCAGCAATACAACAACTTCAGTATCGTATCTTGCAGATTAGGAAAAGAAAAATAATACAATCTCTTGATAAAGGGAGACAATGTTGTGAATTTGAAGCGACTTGAAATATTTAAGCAATCTGTTTAATTCCAGTACATAAAAGATTCGTAAGTTTAATAAGGAGAGCATCCGCACAATTGACTGTGTTCAGCCAAGAACGTTAAGCCTTGAAATCATCAAGCTCATTAAGAAGGCTTGCTGGTAAATACACAGTTTTGACATATGCACCAGCAAAGGATGAGACTACAGCCTTTGCTGAATGAAAGATGCTTCGGCCCTCATACGTTTGAATTACAATTTCCTTCCTCTTGCAAGGAAAAAAATAGCCCATTAGTCTCTTTTTTTAAAAAATAAAATAGATCCAATATCACGAATTTAGCTGGCAAACTCAGCTCTCAGCGAAAGAGCTTAACACAAGGAAGAGGTATGCAATAGTCAAAGAATTACCATTCAGAACAAGCCCCCAACTTATCCCTGGAATTCTTTAATTATCAAAAGTTGAAGTCTTCAAACAAGGGCGAAAAACAATCTATTGCTTGAGGGTAAAAGTAATCTGAAAGTGCACACGGATTTACCTCTCGAATAAGGAACAGAGTAACAAGATTTCAAGAGGAGAGGAGAAAATAGAGGAAATTTTGTTTATCAATAATATTTATAAAAATTAAAAAAAAAGTGTAGTCACCTTCTGAGTCAGATTGAGTGGGCTTAGGGCGCTTGAGGGCACTTTTGAGGACAGGCTTTGGAGCAGAAACTGGAGAGGATTCCCTGATGTCAGTAGGAACTGGCTCCAGGGCTTCGGGTTCAGAAGGATGAGGAGGAGGAGGAAAAGGGTTCGCAGAAGGGGGAGGCAATCCTTCGAAGAGGTTGTCCGCCATGATTGGGTCTCTCTCTCTCTCTCGTCTCGCCCCGCAAGGGAAAACCGTAGAACACGACTAGCGCGTTGAAATGAAAGCGATAGGACGATCCGCTGAACTTGTATAAAAATTAGTTTGTAAGGTAGAAAAATTATATGCATTGTGATTAAATAAATAAGTTTAGTTTGTAAAATAATTAAAATAGTTACAATTTTTATTAAATAATAAAAAATAATGAAAAATATAACAATAAATTCAAATTATTATAATAAGAAGAAGTTATATTTAATGAATAAATATTACATAAGTAATTGAATGATATATTCTACACAATTTATATAAATATAAATAA